TCGATGACGAGGAGTTTTTGATCTTGAGCAAACATCACATGATTGTACAAAATCTTTGACTGCCTTCCACATTTGAGGCCACCAAAAATCCCTAAATATCAGCTCCAAAGTCTTATTATATCCAAAATTTTCTGTTGCTAGGAAGTCGTGACGAGCTTGAAGAACACGTAAACGTGCTTCTCCTTCTGGGACATATAGGTGTCCTTTGAAATAAAGTAGGTTATTCTTGAATTCAAATTTAGAGAGATTATGAGATTTAGAAGAATTATTCTTGATATCATGAACAAGAGGGTCTAAAGACATACTTAACTGGACTTGCTTAAGGAAAGTTAAATCAACAGTCAATGTTGATTTTATTGCTCGAAGATGAAGTTGCTCCCCCTTTAAGAGAACCGTTCTTTGTTGCTCAAAAGCTACATCTCCTTCTTTTGGTACAAGATACGAACATCTAGACAAGGCATCGGACAAACCTTATTGTTTTTCTGTCCGGTAAGTGATGATGAACTCGAATCTTGATAAAGACATGCTCCAACGAGCTTGACGACGATTTAATATGCGTGCTGACATAATATATTCGAGGTTCTTGTGATCCGTATACACAGTGACTAGACTGGAAGCGCCTTCTAGATAATGATGCCATTTTTGAAAAGAATCCACAATTGCAAGAAGTTCTTTGTCGTGGATCTCATAATTGATTTTTGCTGCTGAGAATTTTCTTGAATGAAAGGCTACTAGATGAATTTTGTCATCTGTTCCTATTTGTGATAAAACTGCACCTAGACCAAAGTCTGATGCATCTGTTTCCATAAAGAATGCTTTGGAAAAATCAACACGATACAAGATTGGTACAGAAACAAACGCTGTCTTCAAAGATTCAAAAGCAACTTCCGCTTCTTGATTCCATTGGAGTTTGTCTTTACAAGTCAAACGTGTAAGTGGAGCTGCAACTCGAGAGAAGTCTTTGATGAAGATCCGATAGTAGTTGGCAAATTCCAAAAAACATTGGACATCTCTTACCATTTTTGGGATCTTCCAATCTATAATAGTTTGAACTTTCTTAGGATTCATCATAAGTCCATCATTTGAAATGATGTAACCTAAGAAATCGACTTGAGTAGTGTGGAATATACACTTTTCTATCTTGGTATAGAGTCCTGCATCTCTTAATTTTTGTAACACATGACAAACATAAAGTTCATATTCTTCTGGATTCTTAAAATAGATCAAGATGTCGTCTAGATAACAGACCATAAAATCGTCCAAAAACTCTCAAAAAACATCATTCATTAGATGTTGAAAAGCTGCTGGTGCATTTGTAAGTCGAAAAGGCATGACATTGTATTCAAAATGTCCATACCTAGTTCGAAATGCAGTCTTCCATTCATCTCCTTCTTTGATGCATACTAGATTGTATGCTCCCCGAAGATCTATTTTTGTATAGATCTTAGCTTGATTCAGCTGATCAAGAAGTCCAAATATTAAAGGTAGTAGATACCTGTTCTTGATGGTAATCTTGTTGAGTCCTCGATAATCAACACACATCCACAATGATCCAACTTTTTTCTTCACAAATAGAATCGGAGCTCCTGTCGAAGATTTAGAATGGCGTATGAAATTCTTGGCTAGATTTTCTTCAATATACTCCTTGAGTTCAGTCAACTCATTTTGTGATAAACTGTAGATTGGTCCGAATGGTGGTTGTGCTCCTTCTTGAAGGTCAATTGAGCAACCATAGGGACGATGTTCCGAGAGTGTATCCGCATTTTTTTTTTCGAATATATCTTAAAATTTTTGATATTGGCTTGGAATGCCACTTGAAGTCTTTTCACCAGTATGAACAGGTGTGGCATAAATAATATATGGTGATTCTTTCATAGCAGCATGCAAGAAAGCTTTTGCACCTATAAATACGAGTTTAATTGAACTGGACTTATGACTCTCTACTTAATTAATTACATTGTTAGTTATACTTTTAGAGAAAGTAAGAGTTCGGGAAATCCAATCTATTTGAGGGTTATATTTTTCTAACCACAATAAACCTAAAATAACTCGATTAGAGGGAGATCTAATGATATTAAATACTATAAAACTAATGTGACTATTAATTATTATTTTTATAGGAAGGGTTTCGTGAGTATTATCTCTAGAAGACAATGGACGACCATCTATGACTTTTACATGAACAGGTTTAGTTTTCTTTACTAAAGGTATGCTATGTCTTTTAGTAAATTCTTCATCTAAAAAACACGCTGAGGCTCCCGAATCTAATAAGGTAGAGACTTTGTAATATTTAGGTCCTAAAATAATATTTAATTTAAAACAAGGAGAGGGCTCTGAGGAGAGAATAGAACCTTTGCTAGATGTTGTACAAGGTTCCAGCTGCACGGTCCCTATTGTAGTTGGACAAACTCGTTTTCCGACATATTGTCTTCTTTCATAGCCATACTCCTCATTTTGTGATTGCGTCGTTTCTTTGGACAATGTTGAGCAGTGTGCTTTGATTCTCCACAATATAAACATAATCCTTCTTGACTACGACGAGTCTTTTCTTGCTCAGTAAGAGGTTTGAAATGTACTGCATCAATTTGCATATCCTCTACTTCCGAATGTATATGTTGAAGAGGTGTTGGTGCTGCCATTGAATTATAGTAACGTTGAGGTCCACTTATACGGTTCTTAGATCGGAATTCAAAAAGGTGATTGTTGTACTTTAGAGCAAAGTCAATTGCTTGACTCAATGTAATCCATAGAAAAATTCGCTAATAAGTGCAACATCATCCCACTTGATATCAGTTGCAAGTTGTCGAAATTGTGAAGTATATTTAGATACAAGACAATTGCATCATGTTTTCCATACATGGATTGAAACTTTGCTAGAAAAGCCTCTAGATTATCCAATATTGGATCTTGTTGTTCAAGAAAAGATGAAAACCACGATAGTGTTGAACCTGAAAGAAGCGTACCAATGAATCTAACTTGTGATCTTGGAGTTGGATAGCTTTGGGATTGAAGTTCAATCATAAGTTGTACTTGATTGATAAATCCTTGAAACTTGGATCTTGTGCCATCAAACTTCTCGGGTAGTGCAATTTTTGGTTCTCTAACATTGGAAGGATGTTCCACCATAGGAGAAAGGACATGGTTTGGTGTAGATGTTGAAGCAGCTCCAACCATTTCTACATCTTCACTTCCTGCCAATCTTGTTGCTCCTTGTGGTGGTAAATTGAGTTGATGCATTGCAAGCATTAACTCCCTCAATTGCTCTTGCATTTGTGCCAGTGCATTCTTCATTTCAAGAAGTTCTGCTATGATAACACTTAGAAAAGAGAAGATATCTAATATCGCTCAAGACAAATAGAAGAGAGGACTTGAGAACAAAGAAAATACTAAGGACAATATCAGTTTAGAAGAGGGTAATCCGCAACTTCTAATATGCTTATATCTTGTCAAGAAAAAGGAATAATCCACTCTTAATCAAGATTAGACAAAGCTCTGATATTATAGGTGTACTCTTATCAATCTGTCAAGGACAAGAACTCGATGAAAAAACAATCCAGACAAGTGAGCCTTCACTCAAAAAAAGATAACAAAATATAAATAAATAAGTATGTATATTGAAAGAGAAACTAGAATGGCTATTGCCAAAAGACAAGAAAACTAGAGACCCTTGAAACTAGACTAGAAGCAAGAAAGGAGTTGACAAGAGTGAAGAAGGCTTCATTCTTGTCTCTATATATACGATCTAACTAGGGGCTACGTGGCAACATTCTATAGGACCTCCAATATGTATTGACTTTGTAGGACACATGCCTTGACTTACAAGGCAAGTTTTTCTACGTGTGGGCCACATAATTAGCTTGATCTTCAAGCTAACAACATGTGTAGCACATGGCCAACTTGTTGACCACGTTTCTAATCCAAAAAGTCAATTAAAGACACCTATGAAGTCAAAGCAATGTCTATGAAGCTTCTAGGAAGCTTCCATATTAAATACTATAGAATTAACTTACTTTTATCTACTTTTACTTACTTCTACCTATTTCTATATGTAATTACTATTTTACATGAGTATGTCCGTGACAAATACTACGTGGTATTTTTTAAAATCTTCATCAAACACTTTGTAATAAACCTTAAAAAAATGCAAAGTAAATCATAACTTAAATTTGAGAACAACACCATAAGCAAAAAGTTTAAAAAAGAAATAGAAGCAAAAAATTCATCAAACACAATAGACAACACTTGGATTATATCTATGTATAAGATACATGACGGGACTTTGTGCCTGCTAACTTTTCAATCCTTACTAATTCTTAACTATCTTATCTAACATTGATACGGCCAAAGGTAATAGTTCTTGATGAGTTACAGGCAACGACACATCAAGTCAAAAAATAGATATCAATTTTAAATAAAATAACATGAAAAATAAAAAATCACAAACCTAATTCTGAAAGCATCAAAACCGCCCATCATTAACTTCCAGATTTAGTTTTTTTTTCTCCCCGAAAAAGGATCCGAACATAGAACCGATAATCAGAGCATTGAAATAATGCTGATTTGGCACACTTACTTACTGCCCTGCTCATCGTGCAGGAAAAGCACCGGATTGCCATTAACGCATGAATCTAAAACGAAGAACACCTAAACTTCTTCTAGGTCAGAATAAAACTGGCGGCTAAGCACAGGATGCTGCTCTGCTGGATGCACATTAATGGAAGCAAAAAACTCTTACCAATATTGCAGACACCCACACACAACATACGAAAAGGGGGGCTTGAAAATCTGATCCCACCAGGGGCGGCGTTCACACGACGCGGCTCGCTGCCCCTGCTGGAGCTCGCCCCAGCTGGGGATGAATGACGCGCCGTAACGTGAATCCCGTTACGAAGCCGTTGACTCCCCACCTCCCGCAACGCAAAAGGAGCAGCAGTCCTATTCCCAAATCCCCATTTTTCAAGTCATACAATCAAAATCATTGTGGCTAGAATGAGTTGTTGACGAAGCAGCCAGCAGGTAACAAGCTTGCAGCTCATTCTACAATGTTGCGAGCAGGACTGGGAGATTCGTAACTTGCCTTGCGTCGCGCGACTGGATCGATCGGGTCGGAGTCGAGGTCTCCAAGTTGAGCGAAGAGGATCGATCCACCCTCGTGTGGAAGTGTCATTGAACTTGCAAAAAGATACTGACTTTGCTAAAGGAGTGTTCGGCATGCAATAGTCAACCTCGTTGCCCATTCACACGCGATGGAAAGCTGGCGATTTACGCTACACGATGAGTTACCGCTTGCTTTCATGATAATGGTTCTGTCTGTCCTACGGAGACTTCCAGAGGTCGGCCAGACATCCCCTACTTTGGCGCTGAGGTGTAGCGGAATCTGGCATTTCTAAATTCGGCCCAAGGGCTGCAACTGGGCGGGGAAGTGGTGCGCGAGTTTGCGGACAATGGTTGATGTGCTGCGCGTTTTGGCGCCTAGACTTTGTAGCGAGTTGGGGGGTTGGTTATCCTCGTGGGTGGCCTAGCCGTTTGTCCAGCCCATCGTTCGTGCTCGAGAATTATGGCCTGGTTGTCTACGCTGCGGGGAGGGGATTGTATTGGTGATTCGCTTGCGTAGCTGGAATTTGTGGGTTGATTCAGGTGAGCAGGTAGGGGTTGATCGAAGCGAGATCGGGTCCGGGCAGAAGAAGGAGGCTAAATATGAGAGCGTTGACGTGAGAATTCGTCGCGGGCCTTTCGAGTGCGCGAGGTGGTGGATGGTGAAGATGGGATGGTGCAGGAAGAAGCCCAAGGGTAGGGATTCCATATTTAGACGTAGATTTGGAGGGTGAATCAGTGGAATGGATGGGCAATCTAGGCGGTGGTGAAGTGGAGCAAAACTCGGCAACCCGTTCAGTTGCTGGATTATTGCAGGTTGTAGGTTGCATGCGATGGCGAATTGGTTCACCGCAGGGCGGTTTGCAATAGGGTTACTAGTCTTGCTCGGCTTGCACGCGCCGCTCTCGGAGGCGCAAAACAACGGTAAGTAGTCTGCTCTTTAATTGGGCGCCATCTGGGCGAGGGCTTCGTCGGAGAGCTAATTTGACAATCGCGTTTAATTTCAGACGCGGGAAACTTTTGTGCAATAGTTGAGGTTTTGTTTGAGATAGTTATGCGGCCGTCGCATTTCTAATGCCGCAAGTCGGTAGAACTAACTGGATGTCGTCGCTCGAGGCGATGAGTTGCGTAGAACACGAATCTGATGTAATTGCAATGCCGGTAGTGAAAGTGCATCTGGAAAACCTTGAGCTAATGTACGAGTTGTTTCAGATGCAAGACCTGAAACATGTACATGTAGACTAAGTTGTGAATATCGTAAGTCTTAAAGGGAAACTTCAGACGCTGCCACTAAGGTGATCCCCTGACGCGTCTCACGTAATTCACGAAGGGTGCAGACGCCTAGTTCTTTGATGGATCATATGACTTACCCGATTTTAGATTTTCTGAGTAGTGCCTGAGAACAAGAGATTCCGGCATGCCACAGCCACTCCCTAGTAGGCAGATTTGAAGTAATGAGGAGCGAATTCCAGCTGAACGGGGTTTCCACCGCAGAATGTGACCACACAGCGATTTTTCTTTGAATACTCCCGGTCGAATTAGACCAACACTTGCTTTGTCATGTGAAACGCCGAACTGGAGAGCGATGCCAGTTTCTAATACGAGTTAATGATTTCAGCAGATACGCTATGATTAATTTACCAATTATTTTTATTTTTTTATACTGAGCCATTTCGCTGGAGGTTTTGCAGGGTTTGTAAACATCGACTGTGGCGCTGAAGCAGAGTACACAGACACTTCCGGAATCACTTGGATTCCTGATGCTCCATTCGTCACAACCGGACAGATTTCACACAATGTTTCATCGCAAATTTACGGCGCCTCTAAGAGGCACTCAAGCTTGCGTTATTTCCCCGGATTGCAGTCCAAATTCTGCTACACTTTGAACGCAACGAACGACACAGCTTACATAGTCCGTATCACTTTCTTGTATGGAAAATACGACGGAAGGTTGCGATCTCCCACATTCCAACTCCTCATCGATACTGTTAATTTGGGTCTCATCCTGACGGATGGGTCAGACACCACGGTGGTGAAGGAGATCATCGTAACAGCCGTATCGGCCAACATTTACTTATGTCTAGCGCCCCTTCAGGTAGGAATTGATGTCCCATTTATCAATTCCATTGAGTTGCGGCCGCTGGGGTCGAGGATGTACCCAAAAACACGTCAGGGTTATATGATGATCAACAATTACCGGTACAACTTCGGTGGTGATGATGTCAGGTATGGTATCAGATTCGTGCCCAGGTCACGCAGGACAGGAATGCTTGCGGTTGTAGTCGAACGTTCTCGCTAGAAACTTCCGTGATTGCTTTTGTACTAATCGTTGTGGAAAATTTGATCTGTGTGCGCAGTTTCCCACAGGACAAGTATGACCGGACGTGGTGGAATTTTTCTGCTCCGGATGCTCGTTCCCTTGTCTCGACTCAGGATGTAACTGTGACAGATGGTTTTTCCCGAGATGAGGCGCCTCTGGAAGTCTTGAATACAGCGATTGTCTGGCAGAAGGATGTCAACTTCATAATGTCTCTCAATGCTAGCGGAGGAATAAATTACGTGGTTCTTCTGTGGTTTGCCGAGATTGAACAAGTAAACCAGATTCGGGAATTCGAGGTTGGTATCGACGGGAACTGGCAGGAACCAATCAATGTGAAAAATACCGTGGGTAAAATGTACGAAGCATATCAGTGGGGCTATCCCAGCGTAAATTTGACCAGCACTTCCTACTTAGGGCTGCGGTCCACAAATCGATCCCAGTTGGGGCCCATACTAAATGGATTGGAGGTTTATTTTGTATCCGACCCTGTTCTACCGAGAACCGATGTGCGCGATGGTAACATTCTCGTCTTCATGATTCCCGCAACCACCATAACTTTAAGGAATCATTGAGATAGCAAATAATTTGTATGAAATTTGCGTAGTTTGTCACTCTATCACTCTTTAAGAAGTGCTGTGCTTTTCAACTTTTCCAATGCAGTTGCTGCGATCGAGGCCGTCAAGAAACACTGGAATTTGAGCACTTGGACTGGGGATCCGTGCTTGAGTGTTCCTTACAGCTGGATCACTTGTTCGCTGGACATTATCCCTAGGATCGTCGAGCTGTGAGTGCTGATCCGTCTTCGAATGCTGATTCCAGAGTTATGTTGCGCAATCTTTTTGGCGCTTCTTGAATTTTGTGGCTGCCATTCTCAACAACGTTAGTTCTTTTTGAACAGGAACTTGACAAGCTACAACTTGAGTGGATCAATACCTGATGAACTAGGAAATCTGACGGAGCTTACAAGTTTGTAAGTATCAAACTTCCCTGCATCTAAATCTTGAGTAGCAGAATTACAATTTGGGTCTTTCATTGTCACGTAAGAGCTGAAGCTTACGTACTTATTCAGACATGCTGAGTTTAAAGCAGCCCTGATGCTTGCAATGTGCCTTGACACTTGGTGATTGCCGCTTCTTTCAGGTCATTAGAACACAATGCGCTGATGGATTCTATACCAGATTTAAGTGCACTAACGATACTCCAGAAACTGTAAGTACCTGTTGACTCTGCATAGTCTTTGCAGAAATAGGGTTTTATGTCGGCTATGTCTTGACTACGGCAATATTTCGAGTTTTGGTTTCCACCGTTCTCATTCTCACTACATGGCTTACAGGCATCTGCAGGACAATTCTCTCACAGGTGAATTTCCTGCATGGGTTGAGACACTACCTGCTCTCGAAGAACTGTAAGTAGTTCATTGCCATCTTCTTTCTAAAAGCCCCTAAGATTAATGTCAAAGGCTTGTGGTGGGGCTGGCCATGTTTTCAGTGCGCAGAACTCTTTTTAATATAACATGCTTTGGCGCAGGTTTGTAGAAGACAACAATTTGACTGGTTATGTTCCACCCAACCTACTTAACAAACGAAGCTTGTTGTTCACATATACTCCCAGTCCATTTCTCTGCACCGGCACCCGCACATCATGTACTCCATTGGCTTCACCGATGACGTCTTCGATAACCAGCGTCGACGACGGCGGCAACGGCAGCAGTACTGTTACTATCGTCATCGGTTGTGTGGTGGGTGGACTTGGAGTCACCCTTCTCATTTTCGTTGCTATTCTAATTTCTCGGTGGCGAAAGCGAAAGCTATTATCTAGGGCTTTACACTTTGCGAAGAAAGGCGGCGATCCAGGTACGGATTGCTTTTTTCAGTCAAACTTAGATGTTGCGTGCTTCTGCTTGTAATGAACCAGGTCATGATAGTTTTTACACAATTGTGTGGCAGTTCATGTTGCGAAAGGCCAGACGATGGCATACTCGTTTATTGAGGTCAAAGAAGCAACCAATGACTTCATAGACCAAATTAGGGAAGGAGGTTTGGGGCCTGTGTACAAGGGTAGGTTATCGAATGGAACAGAAGTTGCAGTGAAGAGATGCTGGCCTATTCATAAGCGGGGAGCCGTAGAATTTTTCAACGAGGTGGTAGTTCTCGCAAGAGTAAATCATAGGAATCTAACCTCCTTGGTGGGTTACTGTCGAGAGGGGCAAGAGCAAGCCTTGCTGTACGAATATTCCTCCAACAATGAACTTGGGACGTACCTGCATGGTGGGTACAAACCCCCAAAAGTGTCCTGACGCTCCATATCTGGGTGAAGAAAGTATATTTATCTGATCATTACTACATTGATCACAGATTGATTTGATACTACGACCTTATTTTACACAGATATTTATGATTTACAAATGTAAATGTGGGCTACAGGAAATGGAAAGCTCCTTTCATGGAGCACACGTCTAGCCATTGCTTTAGACGCTGCTCAAGGTACGTTCGTCTGCGAGCAAGCTCTAGTTGGGTTTTCTTGTGTGCGTTGCAGCTAGTGATCATTTTGATGTCCGCTTATTAACCCTTTGTGGTGGTTGTTGGCCAGGACTTGAATACCTGCACAATAATTGCATTATACACGGAGATGTGAAACCAGCCAACATTCTACTCACAAGCAAAACGGTTGTTGCGAAGGTGGTGCACTTCGGATTTGCTAATTTCAGCTGTGAAAGAGATACTACTCTTCAACTCCATAACGCTGATGCGAAGGGCACTGATGGCTATCTCGATCCCGAGTAAGTGCTTTACTTTGGACGCTGCGAGTATCTACATATACAAGGTCATGCGTAGAAGCAACAAACTAAGTGATGTTTTCTCCACTACTCAGGTTTCTGGAGAACAATCGGTTGACCGAGAAAAGCGATGTTTACGGCTTCGGCGTTGTGTTGCTGGAGCTCATTTCAGGGCAGGAGCCAATCAACATGACAGTGTTGGCTAGAGATCCCAGCTTGATCGAATGGGTATGCCCTCTACATGTTCGGGATTTCATCTGTTTATGGCTGAAGTCGTACGCAGTGGACACGTATTGTTTTGAGGCTTCTTCTTGCAGCCTCTGACTCTATCATTCGTAATTTTCCTGTTCAGATGAGGCCATTAATAGCAGCAGGGGAGCTGAAAGTGGTGGTGGATCCAGCTCTTGGAGATGACTACAATCTGGATGCTATGTGGAAGATGGTGGAGCTTGGAATGATGTGTGTGGAACCAAGGGATTACCACAGACCTAGTATGACAGAAGTGGTGCAAGAGATTCGAGACGCAATCGTCATTGAAGAAGGGTCTTCTGTCACCGCCCGTGGATTATAGTTGTAGGTTCAACGCTCAGAAAACGGCTCAACTGCATTGCCGCTAGAGCTAGGCGTTGGGATCGCACGTTGTTTGATTAGGTCACGATCCAAGCAAGCCGGAACCTCGTTCCCGGCTTGCACTTGTAACATACGAGAAAGAATGTTCCTCCACGGAGCTCTGGCAGCAGACCAAAGAAAGGGATTGAGCAATCCAGTTTCTCATATAGTTTCCTGCGAGGCCTCCACAATGTTGAGTCTTCAAGCAGATTGCTGCAGCCTCCTGAGGAACGACACCGACGTTCGAGAATCGAATGAGTGAGATTCTCTCGTCTTGTAATTCACAAAGTGAAGTTAGTAATCAGAAAAATCTGCATGGGGCCCTCTCGTTGAATTGGGCCCTTGCACCTCTCTTCAAACATCCTTGCACTCCATTCGCATGCCTTCAACATTTCTTAGTGATCTTCTTTGCTGCTTCAGGTTGTGGATCAGGCTGTCACTGCCGAATCCATAATAGCCAATCAGTGGTTTTATTGCATATCTAGCGATCCACCAAACATCGAGCGGCAGTACGGATGATTGTTTTTCCATCCCATAATCCCAAATCCTGTGAAATGGGCTCCGCTTGCAAAAGACACACGGCCCAAATTCTTTCTGAAGAGTCCCTGTGGCACACTCCTGTGTGTTATGTTTCGATGCATCCACCCGGCGATCGAAGCATCTTGTCACCGTGAATTCTACACAAGTCGCTGCGCATCTGGTGGCACACTCTTCACACCAGAAGCTAGCAATCAAAACGTGTCGCAGGCGAGACGATCTCCATGATCACAATTTGTGTGCGACGCTTACACCGAAAAGTTTTCAGTGAGAGACGAGAAACGTCAGTTAAGGATTTAAAATTTTAGGGTTGAGAGGGATCACTCACCCAGTAAGGACAACACATTTTACGTTTTGCTTCAACTTTTATTTACTGCATTAAATTTAAGAATAATTATAATCGTAGATATTGTTATTTATTTCAAATAATTATTAAATTTGAATGTGATATTATTTTAGATTTTTGTACAATATGTCAATGTTTTTTTCCTTCACTATATTGATCTAATGTACTTTTAAACAACATATTAGGATAGATGGCAAGCAGTTTAAAATTAAAAGATTAAATTGAGAACAAAAATTTAGTAATTCTAATCAAATTATTTCCAAGATGGTATTTGTAAATATAAAATACTTTTAAAATATTCATATGGAAAATATTAAATCAATCCACCTAAATCTTAAATTGATTTATTTTATTTCCATAATTTAATCTTTATAATTACTTGTTTAATTTGGAAATTAAAAAATCTATAAATTCATTCATTTAATTTTGCCTTAATCTCTTGGCAAATCTAAAGGTTCAACAACTATGTTTTGAGGCTCAAGAGAGGGAGTGGAGGGAAAGACTAGATAATATTGGGTGAAGATGTGCCCTCATAGTATGTGTGTGTCCTAAAATTAGAAACCAAAGAGTTTCAAAATTAAAGCCAACACAAGGCAATGCAAAAGAGACCCTAAATCCCTTCTCTTCCAAAGTACAATCTTGGATTCATCTCTATTATTGTCCATTAATTTCATAGGTTTTTCTATTGTCAAATTACAAAAGTAGTTGCAAAGATTAAATCACAAGAGTAAAATATGATAGTTTAAAATTTAGATAGATTGATTTGATATTCTCCTATACATATATGCTTAGATTTTTATTTATAAATATAAAATTTTAAAAAAACTATTAATTTAAATTTAAAACTACTAAATCTATTGGTCCAAGTCTACAATAATCCAACTTATTACATAGGGAACTTGTCTTGATATTACAACTAAATTTATGGGACCAATATTATATTCAAATATTAATAAAACTAAATATTAATATGTATTTTTAAATCTTAAAAAAAATATCATCAACATATTTTATAATTCATATATTAAAGGATACAATATGTAGTAATAATTTTGAAAGTATAAATATAACATAAGTATGAAATTTAATGCATCATTTACAATAAGTACAAAGATTTGTTGAAAAACAAAATATAGATTATATTATATCTTTCTAATTTATTATCCTTTCTTCTATTTTTTTTCTTTAAGAAATTGGCATAATACATACTAAAAACAAAAATCTTCTCTTTTGAAATCTTTTTGTTAACAATCAAATTAAGGACATGGTCAATGCGTGCAAGAATATAAATTTGTTTAATGGAAATCCTTAAGTATTATAAACAAAGAAAATATGAAAAAGACAAAGAAAGCCACAACAATATTGTTATAGAAATATACTAGGAAATGGTAACTATTGCTATTTTGTAAAAGAAATCAATATTATTTATATATTTTAAGTTTAAAATTATTTAAAAATTAAATTAAAAAAATCTATGTAAAATAAAATGTAACATGTTACATAATGTCTTCTTTATAAAACAAAAAAGCTTTTTATAAGCAAATTCAATTGATTGGTGTCATTCGAAGCACCATATGCTATAAGCATTCTTTAAAGAAGTTTATTTACATGTAGAAAACTAATATAAAAGCATCTTTTATTTTAGATATTTAATTTGCAAGTTTTGTGATCTTCAAGTTTTTGCTTCATGAACTTCTTGTTAGTCCATATGTACAAATAAAATTGAGATTGTTTTTAGGTTTTAATAACATTTGTTTTATACTCTAGTCTTAATTCAAGTCTCTTTTGTTTCTTTTAACTTGAAAATAGCTACATGTATTAAATATATATATATATATATATATATATATAATTTTCTTCACTTCTTTACTGTACATGAGTATATATTTGTCTTTTTCTAAGTTTACCTAGTTTCATACTCTCAACAAATACAGTTTAGAATTTAATTTTTAACTTTTTGGTTTTAGCATGTCTAAGAAACATATAACTTGTATATTGTATCTTATACATGCTATTCACCATTCAATATGATGTGATTTTAGTTTCATTCTTGAAAAATATATAAATATAAACATATTATATTAATTTTCTATTTTTAATAAATTAATTTTGTAGTAAACATGTAAGTGTAGATTTAATACTTATATATTATATTTTTGGACATGTAATCTAATTTGAGAGATATTATTATATACAAATATTTTATATTTGATTTTTTATAAATTTTTAACACTACCAAGTGCTGGAAATATAATGTAAATAAATTTGTAATGAAAAATTAATACATGTAGAAAAAAGAACAAAAAAAGAAGATCAAGAAGAGGTATATTTACTTGACAGTAAAAACCTAGACTTATGGTTGCAATCTCTTCTACTTTCAACTACTAACGTTGTGTTGATCCATACAATACAATACTCTTTTACAATCACTTAAGAATGATCAATATATAAAGTAGAAGTAAAAAATCATTCACTAACATCAATGTTTAGAATAAACATATATACAATACCAAAAATATTCCCCAGTTTCAACCTATTTCCAAAAACAACAAACGCCAATAAAACCAAAAACCACTACTATCTTACTTGACTTCAATTTTAGTTACCATAATACCATACTAGATTTACTATACCACCACAACCCATGCAAACAAACCAGTTGACAAACACTCCACATGGAATTGAGACGATGACAACTACTGCTTTAAAATCTTGCAGCAACAACAACAATCAACAAGATCATGAGGTCAACATGTTACACCAACATCGTCAGGAGAAGAGAATTTCCGGAGCCTCTCTGCAGTAGTCGTCGTTTACTTCCAACAGCAGTTCACCGGGCATTACAATAAGCACAACAACCACATTGAAGGATCACACTACCCAAAAGCAAAGAAAATAAAAAGATAATAAAAGAAAAAAAGAAAAAAAGAAACTGGGGGGTGGGGGGGGATCCTGACTTAGTTATAAACCCCGTTCTCTTTGCAACCTTAATTCTCACCGAAAACTCTGATCCATACCCCGACTTTCCTTTCACCCCCAGCATTGTTTGTTCACGAGAAGCTTTCTGCACATTCCGCATTCAAAGATGCAATATCGAGGATTCGAGAGGAGGTGTGGAGCAAGGGGATCACATTGACACCCACATGAGCAGTTGGAGGGAGTGTGAATCTCAAGAGGTAGATGTGTTGCTGAATCGATCAACTGGGTCCTTGGTGCCGTCCAACACATACTTGTCTTCGTTAGGGTTGTGCCCTGGACCATGCTTTCCACCACTCACTGCAGATGAGGTTGCATTTCCACCTATTCCAACGCTCTGAACAGGAAGATGGTCTCGAAGTGCTGCAGGAAGACGATCGGAGTCGTTACTGCTGACGGACTCAGTCGTTGCTGCTGCTGTTGATGCTCCGTGTTCTTCAGGTGTGCCGGCAACGGTGCTGAGGCGGGTCATGCTCGTGGAGCCCATGGGCACCGTTTCGTATGTGGCGGCTTCAGACTCTCGGCCGAGGTCCACCTCCACTTCTGAGTAGTGCTTGGAACCGCCGAGTAAGGGTGCCAACGCTGCCTTCACCTTTTCCGACATGCCCGTCAAGCTCCTCCTGTCCTTCACGTAGGGGGTTGTGTCGTCTCGAAAGCTTGTTCGCTCTTTGGTTCCTTGGCTTGGGCTGTTGCTGCCTTCCTCAGCCATGAAATAAAAAATGCTAAAGAAAGAAATCTGCAAAGAAAATGATTCACTGATTGACACTCAGCGGGGCTTCTCCACGGTCGTCCTCTTCGAAACTGCGAGAAATTAGACATGCTCAGATCATTAGGGTATGAAAATTTTCTCACGTGTGCATGCCAATGCAAGATCACAAAAAAATGTATTAAGAAACAATGACATTTCGATGCCTGAAGATCAAATGCCTGCGCCATGTAAACAGACGAACGATCTGCCGCTACTCACATACAAATTCTTTTGAAATCAACCCCTGATGCTGCAGATCTCTCCTAAAGAAACTGACCCGTCTCTATCTTTAAACCATCAACATTACAATTCACTTCATGGAGAATCACAAACCCTACGTCTTGGGAATTCTTCACAGGCTTCGCAAATGCTGATAAGAGTTCAATCCCTGCTGAATGTACTCACAAATCAACACACGACTGCATTCTCATCAAAAGTACAACCTCGTCTACAACCTCGAATGCCCGATCTTGGTTTCAGTCAACGAGTTCTCTAACTACTCAAAGAGAAATGAATCACAAAGAAGCATGTGGGGTTGGATCCACAGGACAGGGGTTAGCATGCGCATTTGTTGAGGCAAATACAACCCATGTTTATTGCAACTGCCAAGCACCTCTAGACTCTTCGCTGCCAAGTGTCATTGCCCATTACTAAGACCAATTGCCACTTGTCGTTCGTAATATCCCAGTGTCAGATTCTTAATCAGGTAATACGACAGGTCATATCCTTAAAGAAGGTAAGTTTAAGATCTAAGAAAAACGTAAAACTTGAGAGAACTTTGACGATTTCGAAAACCATTCTCTCCGTTCTTTTTAAATCATGCCACCAAGCTTTGCATTACAGAGTGGGTGTATTTGTGCTCAGAAGGACCTGACCTACGCTACGAACTAAAAAGTTTGTTTGCAAGTTTGAATATTCACCAATGTAGATTCAGTTTTCTGGGGATGCTGATGCCAACTGGACCCCGCCGCGGCCCCTTCAATGTAATCTACAATTGAAGAGGACGACATACGCCCTGAGAATAGAGTCGGTTGTGATCGTCTTTCATGGGAGATCGTCGTGTAGTCGCCGGAGCACAAAACATACAAGCGATTGAGAAGGGGAACCAGAATATTTAGGGTGAAATAGTTTGAGTGCTGTGTACTCTGCCGTTTTGGCAGTTAATTGTTCAGGTATGCGACATCACGCACATCCAGGTTTACAAACAACGTATGAGCAATCATTCTCATCCTGATGGAGAGCGAAGAGTGCCTGTTTTGCAACCATCTGCAGGTGTGCGTTTCGACATCGACGTGTAATCGAGTTGGAATTTTTCGCATGTGTGGAATTTTCGTACCTGGAGCTTTCTGTCAAGTAATTGGACTTAGCATTCTGTTGTAAACGATGAAAAGATTCTCACTTTTCTTTTTAAATGGAATTAGGTGATGCTGTCCATCTCGCATTCTCTGGAAGTCATTTTAAGTGTCGGCTCAGTTGACATTTTGAAGTCAGGGTTGCCTGATTTTGCAATTTGCTGATGGTTGTGGTTATGCTCATCGTTTTGTGTATGATAACATCTTCGCATCGAACAAATATTCCATAAGCATTATTAAGATTGGGATTGGCATTTTTATCTTTAGGCCACGTTGAGTTATGGAGCCTGCTCACTTGAGCAATCGAGGAAAAAACAAAAATCGACAGACTTTTCAGATTCTTGAAAGCAGTCCACACGAAATTTTGATTCAAACTGAGTACAAAGCTATGCCACCGGTTGAAGAAGGATTTACAGCTTCGATCCGGAAAGCCCTATTTTAGCTGGTGTATGTGGCTCAATTAGTAGATCTGTGCAGTCTTCTATGCTAAGCTTCAAGTATAATGCCTGAGCTCTGCCGTGTACTTTCAAGAGCAAATAAACTAACTACTGATTATTTAGCAGAACTTGAGAGGTTAAGCCTTACAAAGAATCTTAACAATAATTAAAAATTTCGTATACGAGGTAATTGGTTTGACGTTGATGTATGCAGCATCCAGATCTAATAGGTTATGGTGTTGCTCGAGAGACTTACGAGGAGCCTGCTGGACCTGATTGCATGAACCCTAATTTGCAAAAGCCTATTGATACTTCGCCTTCAAGTTAGATGCTTTGGACCGAACTATTTTATTCGAAAGTTGTTTGCTCTACTTGTTATGCACTTGCTTTCAGGTATCTTAACGTGGAACTGTGTGGAACAAGTCGCGAGGATACCCTTGCAATCATTCTATACAACAAATGTGATTAAATTTTATGAGGGTAGTGATGTGGGTCTGGCCAATCCCTTTACAACCACCTATCAACGTAAAAGTTCTGGAGCCTATCGGCCGTGTATTAAAAACTGTCGGAAAGGTAGTGCACTTACATCCTTGTCACAAAGTTTATGCTTGCGAAGGATCCGATCACAAACTTATCTTGGTTGTCTGTTCTTCAAAGTATGGACTGCTGAAATGTACAGCGTGTCGTAGACTAAGCCACGTCTTGTGTATGATCGATTACTCTTACAATCTCTTACAATTACTCTTAAGATTAGGCACCTTCTAGATATTTTGTACTTCTACACTTCATACCCAAGGTTTTTTAAGAACTCTTATGCTACTCAAGGTGTGAACTTTATCTTTTGCACTTGGATATTTGTTTTAGGTTTCTGAAGGGAAAATTTTTGTTCTTTTCAACATGATGTAAATCAATGATTTGCAAGGAATCCAATCACAAAGCTTAAAATAAGGACTTACACATGTGTTAAATCTTTTACAAAAAAATTTAGTCTAAATTTCTCAAAAAGTTGAATAATATCTACTATTCACAATACCATTTACAAATGGTTTTAGATTTTGTCATTCTTTCAATTTGCAAACTACTTGCAGTTCTCTCTTTTTTCTTATACTTTGTGCTTGATTGTAATTCAAGTTCCTCACTAATCAATTGATTAGTCAACTTTTCACTTGTGGCTTCTATATTTGATGTATTATTCATTGTTCTAATGAAAGAGTGATATAAAAATACCACATTGGAATGTCGTGATGTATTTGTAGTATTCAAACATTTAGAATTAAGTCCATATTTTATAGCTATGATATGATAGATATAATTCGTATTGAAATTTGTGTGGAATAAATATGAATTTATTCTTCAACAAGACTATCTTAATTGGATGTAGTTCCAAGATTGTTTATAATGTGGTATTTGCAGTAACTTCAAGAGTATGTATTATGTAAGACATACATATTTATCTAGATAAGAAGTATTAGGTAGAAAATAAAAATATATAGATTTGACATTATCTTATGGAAAAGTTTCTTAGAAGCTTCATAGATGCATATTTGAATTTATACATGTTTATAGTTGATTGGTAAATTAGAAACTTGGCCAATAAATTAGCCATGTATTGCATGTGTGGATATCTTATGATACAAGCTAACAATGTGGTACACATATATAAAACTTATTTTACAAGTTAAAACACATGTCTCACAAATTGGATATAAATTAGAGGTCCTATAAATTTCTATCTGAGATTGCTCTCTCTTGGTTTATACTTTTGATGGAAAAAGATTAATGATTCTTTTATGATCTAAATTCATTCTCAAAAGTCTTTATGGCTAAATCTAGAGAAAGCAATCGAGAAATGATAGTAGAGACCAAATTCCTAGCTTTACAATAAGGATCACATTTAATTACCATATATACTATAGAATTTAAAAACCTTGCTTGCAACATGGATTAGAATAACAAAGCTTTGATCAATCAATTCTAATATGGATTGAAAGACAATATCAAAGATTTATTATTGGCAATGTCTGAAGTAAACTCATTAGAGTAATTTATTACTCAAGCCATTGTATGCAACAATTAATTCTTTAAAAGACACGAAGAACAAAGGTTTGATAGAGAAGATACAAATTAAGTCATGGCGATAACTTCTAAGTTTGCAAAAGCTTATTCATCAAAGTCAAAATCTATTCAAATTAACATGGTATGTTTTAAATCACTTATTGAGCAAAAAAAGACTTAATGTTGTTAAGAAGGATTGTACTTATATTATGGAGAAACTAAGCACACTAGTCAACATTATCCAAAAAAACAAAGTAATCACAAAATGAAGAGCATAGTTGCCAAAGAAGACAATGTGTCAAAAAATAAGTTCTTTTAGTTAGAATATGGACTATGTAATTAGACTCTTATGTAACATCTAATAAAGGTTCTATTCTTTCTTCAAATCCTTCACCTTATTTTCTATTAAAAGACTAATTAGGTCCAAAAAATTGTAAATTCTTTGTCTTGTTAAATTCAAGAGCCTTGGCTTGTTTCATAAACAAAATCTTTATTAGAAAAAATAAAAAATATCTTTAATTAAGAAAAATAAATCCATGCATGTTGAAGTCATAAATGGTCATTTTTTGCCCTTTGGAGACGTTATCTATGAAACGGTTCTTTTAGATGTAGTAATTAAATATTATAATAATTTAATTTAATTTTAAAATTGTGATGACTTGATTGAATTTATCAAAAGATGATAGAGCTTGAATTTTTTGCATCAACTATATTTTATAAATAATTATGAAAGATTAAAGTTATTAAAGAAAAAAAAAAGGTTGGAATTGGTGTAAAGAAATGAACCATATTTTGGTGCATCAAAAAAAAATTGTCATTAAAATATAAAAATTTAGCAAATACATAATAGATTTGCACTGATGAGATTTATACTAAAAAGTTTTAAAATCATGTATTAATTAAATTAAATTAATTTCTTTTTATACTTATATATAATTTTTATATTATAATAATATTTTGATGTTTTTTTATGAGCTCAAGTTAGTAAGACCAGATCAAAGTATATATATAGATCATTCTAATTTTTTTATTGATTCATAGGTATTTTTAAAACCACCTTTGGTAGTTATGATAGTTAGAAATAAAGTAGCTTTATAATATTTAATTAATATTAAAATAAATTTATTATAAATTTTATAAATAGCTAAAAATTTATATTATAATTATTATAAGAAAATCATAATAAAGAGATTACAATTGACATATTCTTATATTATTTCATTTTATACTTGTTATCTATAAATAAGTTGTAAATATTACAAGATAAGGTTCATGAAGATCTTTTGGATTTTTAAAAAGAAAGAATTTAGAAGACAAAATTGACAAAAACAAGACAAGGTTCATGAAGATCTTTGAGATTCTCAATATAAAGAAGAAAGAGCTTTGAAGACAAGATTGACAAAGATAAGACAAGATTGAAGAAGATAAGACAAGGTTCATCAAGTAGAGGTTATGATCTACTTTGAAGTGGACATCATCAATAGTCTACTTCAACATTAACAAGGACATGAATGAGCATAAAGAAGAGATTAAAGAATAAAGTTATTAAAGATAGATTTAGAATTTAATTTTTTGACCTTGACTTTGACAAAAACTTCAATTCCAAGGACTTAAATGAAGGTTACAACTTTTAGAAGACAAAGAATGGTCTTCATCAAGGCTTGATATAAGTATAGAGATAGCTCCTATATAGAAACATAGAAGGGATATCCAACAATTTTAAGGTATGAAAATCTATGTGTTCAAAAAGTAATAGAACATTGTGATGAAGAAATTTATAAAATAAATGTTGAAGTACTTGATGAAGAAAAAAAATGTAAAGTTGTTCATTATTCATTCTTTTGGCTAAGAAAATTTGTCTAATAAACATAATAAAATTGGCAAAAATATTATAAAAGCTTGCAAAGGCTACCATTAAGTCTAAAAGTGATACAAGTACTTTTACGAGAGAATAAGATCTTAAGACATTGGAAAGAAGCTTTACAAAACTTGAAAAGAAAAAAAGAGTTGGATGGAAATGAGAACATAGGAACTATAAGATTTGAGAGATATTAAGAGTAAGCTTTAAAATTTTGAATGTTGAAGAAAAGAATATATTTTTAGACAAATGCTATAAGGTATATTGATTTATTAATCATTAATAAAAGCAAATAGAGATAGAATTTTAAGAATGCATGATCAACTATATGACATGGATAGAAACATTGTTAAAAAATAAATAGAATATAAATACTTACTAATGTGGAACTTGAATGTAGGTCCATTTTATGCATTATCAAAGAAGGTAATTTTACTTAACTATTATCTAAATAGCATGGATATAGTTAATAAAATAAAATAAAATAAATCAATATTTAAAGGTTGTAGTCTTTTATTGTTATATTACAAAAAATCTATTTTGATTTTTAGATGTATTTTAGTATAAAGTTATTATATAGAAAAATAAATAAATAAATAAATAACATATATTATATTTAAATTTTGTATGTACATCAAATATATTACAAATATAGAAATTTTAATATTTTATATATTTAATTATATTAATTTATAGTTAAAAGATTTATTTTAAAATAATATTATATATATATATATATATTGTATTATATAAGTTTTCATATTATTATTTTTGCATACCAAGTATTGTTATAAGGATACTAAGAATATTTTTGTATTGATAAAAAAAATCTATTAATTTAAAATATATATATATATATATATATATATATTACTAGATATGCCATTATAATATAATTTTTTAAAAATATTAGAAAATTTATTGCACATGCTATAAAATAAATATGTTTGTAGATAGTTTGAGGATTTAAATATCTTACAACATAACAGTTATTCTTTTATACAAATATTTTTCAATTTATTTTTTAAATTACTACATTATTAGAACTTGACTTAGAAGGATGTTCAAACTTGATTATGCTACCGAATATATCAGAGCATATGTCTTCTTTGAACATACTTAAAAGATTGTATAAGATTAAGATCATCATCAACAATAATGAAAGTCTTTTTACTTTAAAAAATCTTAATATTAACAAGTGCTCAAGCTTGACAATAGTACCAAATAAATTGTACAATCTCACATCTTAAACTACCTTTGATATAAGTGATTGCTTAAGCTTGACATCATTATCAATAGAATTGGGCAACCTCACATCTTTGACTACTTTATATATGAAGGGGTACTCAAACTTGACATCATTGCTAAATGAATTAGTCAACTTCATATCTTTCACTACCTTAGATATAATAAGATGTTCAAGCTTGATATCATTGCCAAATGAATTAGAAAACCTCACATCTTTCACCAATCTTGGTATAAGTGCTTAAGCTTAACAACATTGCAAAATGAATTTTACAACCTCGCATCATTGACTACCTTCATAATAAATTATTGCTTAAGCTTGAAATCATTTCTAAATAAATTGAACAATCTTATATCTTTAATTACCTTAGATATAACAAAATATTTAAGTTTTCTAATATTGCCAAATGAATTAGAAAAAGCTCACATCTTTTACTAAATTTTATAGAGAGGGATACTCAAGCTTGATATCATCATCAAAAAAAATTGTCAATGCATTTTTGCAAAGATATCTTTCAAAATAGGTTAAAATTTAATATATAATAAACTCATAAGTTGGTGAGAAACATAAAATTAAGTCTCAATATGACATGTATAAAATACAATAGTATATATGTTATATAAATATGTCCAATTTTTTTGACATCATTATTTTTAATTTTTTTGTGACTAATTGTTAATCTCACCAATTCATCTTAATTGGTAATAAATATTGAAATTTTTAATATTTTAAAAATTAATACTATTTAAAAATATAAAAATATAAATTATATAAATATTCTTTGATAATTTTAATATTCTTCAAAATTTAAAAGATTATATAAGTTTTAAAAGTTTCATTTTAAAAAAAAAATCATTTAATCAAAGTCTTAGATGTAATTATTATAGATGGTTTAGTATATTTTTCTAGATATTTATCATTTATATTTGGGTATAAAAATCAAGGTTTAGAATTTAATAATTTAGCATTATATAGGTATTTTGATTTTTTAACCTACTTATTTATCAATTTTAACTTAATCTATACATACCCTCATTTTTGCTATCTCTCATTCCAATGATGCAAATAACTTGTTCTACAAGTTCTTAGTTTGGAAGATATAGCAACTTTGACTTGTGCTTTTAAGGCTTTAACTCTTTATATAAACATATTTTTGAGATTAAGTTTTAGGATTTATGGTTTAAAATTTTAAGGTTTAGGATTTAGAATTTAGAATTATATAGATAGCCATGGTTTTTTTACCTTCTTATGTTTTGATTTTGACTTGATGTAACCTTCTAACCTCTCTATTTATTGTTATCTATAATTCCAACAATATAATTTACTTCCTTTACAAGTTCTTACTTTGCACAATATAGCAACTTTGTTTTAGGCTTTAGAATTTTTACCAAATTTAGGTTTTAAGATTAGGATTTAGGATTTAGAATTACATGGATGTGCCTAGTTTTATGACTCTCTTATTTTTACATTTTAACTCCACTTACTTCTTCATTTTTGTTCTCTATAATTGCAATAGTATAAATAGCTTACTCTGCAAAGTCTTAGTTTGTAAGATATAATAGCTTTAACTTAGGCTTTAAAATTTTGACTTTTGTTGTAGAAAAAAATTTAGAGTTTAAAAAACATTATTGGATCCATTTTTAGGATTTTTATTCTAAATATGATATTAAATTATTATAAAAGTGTATGGATTTGTAAATATTAAGAATTTGATTGTTTTGATATTTTAATTGAATTTACAAATGGATAGGAATTTATAAGTTTTGATTCAACCTACCTCTTTATCTTGGATGTCTACAAATCCAATAGTAGATTTAGATTATTCTACAAGTTATTCGATTTGAAAATACAAAATTTCTAATTTTTACACGTGGTAATTGCCAATTTTTCTAATAGATTTTTTTAGATTTTTTAGATTTTTCTGTTTGATTGTGATTTTGTTGCATCAAACTAGAAGTTTGAAGTTTTATAACGGTGTTAAAGAATTTGGCACATGATTTATTTAATGGAACATGCCTAGTTATTAAAAAAATCTACCATGTGAAAGTATTATTGAATTTACACCTAGAGCACAAATTGGAAAATAAATCTTGAAGCAATATAGAGCAAAACATATTTGATGTAGCTTAGACAAACAGGTGATAATTCAAAAAGGTTCTCAACCTAACGACGACAATGATATCCATTCCAACAAACACCCAGTATACAGTAAAAACATACACGCTTCCTTGTCATGTTCCTATTTAAATTCAGCCTCCAACCGTAGACCAACGTTAAGCAATCACAGTTTACAGTTCAGCACAACTGTAGATGAAGTAGCGCGCAGGCGAGGTGTTACTGATATAGATTTGGTTCATATAAAGAGGCATAAACAGGCAGGCCGTAGCGAAATGCTCAGAACGGGTCAGTGACTTTGCAGTTAACATGCATGATCGTGGCAATCACACTGACAGGGCTAATTCTGTGAGCATATGTTGAATTCTGCGGTTAACGCAGTGGAACCCAATCGAGAAAACAATTTCATTTAACGTATATACAAAACAAAAGTAGCTTGTAACAGCACTGTTCACTATTGACAATGTGTACCTACTATCATGATACTCTGGCATCTGGGGTAATAGAATAATGCTCTAGAGAATGTTCAGTCCCTCGACAAGCTCGATTGTCCCCGAGGTAACCTCTTGGCAATCTCCTGTCAAAATAAGATAACAGAAACCATTTCAGGCCCGGATTGAAGGGTGAATTCTGCGAAATTGATGGACCTTGGACAAAGAATTTCTCGACCGGCTGTACAGACTTGGATGCTTGGGCTTCCTGGCAATATCGCCTTCAGTGCATTGCTGCCAGGCAGTAGTGTCAGAAGCGGCTCATATACGAGTCATATTCAAGTATCCGAACAGTTTACTACTTCGTAGGTTCTGGTTAGGATTGAAATGAAGAGCGTAACCGACTAGACAAGCCAATCGAATAGCTTAGGAGTAATGTAGAGTACTTGCTACGCAGATATGAAAACAGACATTGCACTACTATTCACATGTGATAAGTGTCGATATTAGATCTCACTCCAGTGAACTCAAGCTGAGTACAAATCAGAGACATAACTGACGGACTAAAGGTTGAAGGGAGGATGAAGACAATGGCCAACTTCACAAAATTGATAGATATCTACCTCAAATAATTGGTTCACGTTCTCAGAAGTCTTCGCTGACGTTTCAATAAAGAACATGCCATTACTTTTGGCATAGGCCTGGGCTTCCTGCAGGAAGAACAAATTCACTCCACGCATCATACATCTGTTCTTAATGCATTCACAATTAGGCACAGGATCACTGAGAAAATCAATGTCTTGGAAAACCCAGATTATTTCACTATGAAAGAAAAGGATATCAGAAACTGAACCACGCTGGAAACAGACACCCATGATTTGAAGGTAAACGAGTTCTTACTGCATGAGAAACCTCTCGCTCATTCTCGAGATCGGCTTTATTCCCGACCAGAGCCATTACAATATCAGGATTCCCATGCTTCTGCAGCTCCTGTTACCAAAGATAAGGAGGCGATGAGTATTGTGATGAAAAGGGATCCAAGTTAACAATAACAAATAGTCAACTCTATTTCGGTAAAGCCAGTAACATTGAAATAAAGTAACTCCTCGTGCTTTTCGCTACAGCAAAAACTTAATACCCAGTTTTAAAAGACTCCTAGGGGTATGAATGCAACATACTTTGACCCAGAATTGAGCTTTCAGGAATGTCTCCGGGTTTGTGATATCATACACTACGACTGCCGCTGCTGCACCCCTGTAATATAAGGGCGCTAACGAAGCATATCTATTTCACAGTTCGAGAACACAGTTCAGAAATGCCGAAAACTAACAATGTTTAAGGTGAAAACTCCCGATTACGACAAGAGATCAATTAAACCTATAATCATAGGCCCACAACCTCCTACACAGAAGGATTAACGAAAATAGAATCTAATGAAATAAACTTAACTTCTTTATTAAAAGACTAAAAATAATAAAAGGGGTGATAAGTATTTGGGATGAAGTGACAAATCGGAACTGTAACTCACCGTTCTTGACCAGCAGTGTCCCATATCTCGAATTTAACGTTGGTTGAGTCTTGTAAGCTAATCGTCTGGGAGAGAAAAGATGCACCAACCGTCACCTGCACACGGCGCCGATGCAGCTGAATGAGCAAGTTTTATATACAGCCGGCTAGACATAATCTAGTTGTTTTCAATGACTCGTTGATGTAGATCAATTCAATCGGAACTGACCGTCCAGTTCGGAACCAAAACGAACCTTAGACGACGGATCGAATTGTCCACGAACGAACCGCAAGAGAATGCAGCTCTTCCCGACTCCTGAGTCACCCAACAGAACTAACTGCAAATCGAGGAAAGAGATCAATGGGCTGGAACACTTACTCTCCATGGGATTCTATAAAATACATGGTGAAAACAACTACAACTAATGAGAACTGGTGATACGACAAGTGAATGTAACCTTGATTCGTATTTGTTTGGAATCCAAAGCTTCAGCCTGAGAGGTGTGCAAGCGCCCAGAGCCTTTCACAGCAGCTATGACGAAAAATTTTGCTGATTAGGCACTCTGAAGACACGGCTGTCACACAGCAACACTAGGAACACTATGCTATCCCTAACTTGGGCCCACATTACAAGAATTTCCGATTACAAACAACACTTCTTCGATTGAAACCCTCTAAATTCAAGGAGAGGTAGATTCCGAGTCCGCTGACAGCAGCCCAAAGAAAAGAAGCCTCGGATCGTAACATCTGGAGCCCCACACACAGCTGTACAAAGCTTCACCCAAAAACTTCTAAGTGCACCTTGCCATCTATCGACGCTCGCATGCACTGAACAGAAAGGGAAAGGGACATACCGGGCGAAGAAGATGTACAGCCCATGGCAAATGGCTAATGCAACAAAACTAATAAAACCTGGTCTCCCAGAGGGGTCTGAAACAAGTGGGAACAACCACTGTAGTCATCTCGTCGCCATATCACGGACACAGAAAGCCACCACCCAGAAACGCTATCACACACTATCACCTCTTCATAATCAATTGCAAATCAAAGCCTCCGTATGCCTCCCTTCTTATCAAAGACCCTCCCAACAGTCCGCCTACTGGAGACTCCGACCTAAGGATTCACTGCTCAGGCTCTTCAGATCTGCGAACCACCACCCACAAGGCCTCTACAAGCAATGGATTTCATCGAACTCTGGTCTTATCGCACCACATTCTTTCGAACAGACACATTCCGCATGTTCCAGAAACTATATTCAAAACTGAATATCTTCCTCCCAAGCAACCCCGTCACCGAAACACTGCCCAGATATGGAGCAAAACTTGACAATCCAAGCGAACCCCAACTGTCACTCCCTCACTCTGGGTAAGGTGACGTTACTGTCGCACCACATACGCATCCAAATGGGGAGTGTGAGGCTTATGGGAGGCATGTGCCAGCTCCGGGTCCTGACAGCGCACCCCGCGAATTTCTGCACTACCGGTGAGTAAAGCGAGAGCTCGAAGTAGGGGACGGGGAGGGGGGAATTGGCTACAGAATGACGTTGGGAAGGCGAACACGGGATCAAAAACGCGGAATCTGCAAAGCCCACCACCCGCAACTCACAATCAATCAATGTCCCCGCAGCAAACAAGCTCTCCTCCCCGCACCACCTCCTCCACTTCCCGCTCCGACGCCGCCGCGGCGGCTCTTGGGATGAACACCCCCTCATTCATCCATTATTCGATTCCACCATCTACTTTCATTCGTTAACGTTCATCCGTGTGTCCGACGAACGACTCTCTGTGGCCTCCACGGGTATTAATGCCAAGTCGTAAGTTTTACTATTCATTTATTAGTGTCTGTGTGTTTGTGAGTGTAAGTGGTTTAAAGTTATATTTTGTTTGTAATGGATAGCCGTGTACTAAAGATACACTATTCATTATGAGATATTTTGGGTACAAAGGACTCAAATGTGCATGAAATATAATTGATAGAAGTTTCCTAAGAATGTTTTTTTTTTAATTTTTATTTATTTTTATTTTTATTAAATTTTTTGGTTTGGGAATGACTGTTGTGTCCATATTGCAAGTATTTGTTTGTAAGATTAAAGTAAAATAAAATAAAAATCTTAACTTTTCAAAAACAATTCTCAGTACTTGGTCAGCCTCATTTGGTCGAGTTTTCTACATTCGCTATCATGTTTAGGAATCCCTTTGCTAGTATTAACCAAGTGATCTTTGTTATTGAAATCCTTTCATAAATTATTTGAAGAAAATGTGTAATAATGGAACATGTGCATGCATATATGAGTGTTTCTATATATGTGTACATACGATTGTGTTCTTTAGTTCATTCAAGCAATAATGTGCAAACTCTAAATTTTTTTAACTACTACTTTTTGAATTTGAATGGAATAAACTGAAAAGTGTATTCCGATTACTCCCAATAAGTTGACTGCTGTAAATAAATGGCAGTGGCATTTTATGGACAAATTTTGGACTTAGGCCAATTTTCGTAGATGGTTCAAAATTGGTACACTTCCTTTACAAGAAATAAAAATAAGTCACATTATAAGCAAAGGTTATCTACCCATTTTTCAAAAGACTAATGAGATGAAGGTTTTCTTCATTTTTTTTTTCTGTATTTTTAGAATAACCCAGTTTTCCATGTATGGAATGCAAGCTTGAAATCAAAATGTCAACCATTTAATTTCATTGTTTTATGTGTTTCTATAAAGACAGTGAAACAGTGTTAATAACTTTTTCAACAAATGAAATCCTACTTGTAGTTACCCATTTAGATATTCTAATTGTAGAAGTCATGATGCATTTGATAATTAATTAATGCTTTTGTAAATTGATTTGTTAAATAGAAAATGATATGAAGTAAAATACCTTTCTGTTGCAATCAAGATTCTAGAGATATGGTTGACCAAAGCAATAGTCAAATTTCTTAAGTGCAGATGTCTAAAAATGTGTATATATATACTTTTATATACACTTATGCATATACAAGTATCATAAAAATACATGAAATCTCTAATACATCCATATAATTAGATCTTGCAAATTAAAACATAACTGGAATTACTTTTTACATATTGTATTGTATTTTTGGTGATTTCTAAGCCAACATAATGAATTTAAGTTACCGTATATGAAAATTGAATATTTTTAATATTAATTTGAATAGTAAAAACTTCTATTCTAAAATTATTTATTTGTGTTGAAATCATATATATATATATATCCTAAATTATACCAAACTATCCTAAAAAACAACGAAATACAATCCTTGCTCCAACACATGTTAACCCATACAAAGCTCCTTGTGTATTGACCTGTATGTGATACAAACATATGTGGTTCTCATTGCAAAATAAAATCTTGGATGTTTTTATTTAAGGTTTGTATATTTTTATTGCTTTGAATTTATTGATAATATCAGTATGTAAAATTAAAATCAACAATATATGAATAATAGATAAATGTAAATCTACCTTGTTAATATTTTAGTATTATTTAAACTTTTGTTTTCATAGAATAAAATACATTTTTTGGTTGCAAATTTTACCAAAAATTGTATTTTTATTCATAGAGGTTTTTTACAAAATACTTAAAATATTTGTATTGATTTTATTTTAATTTTTTATTATGAATAACTTAAAACTTTGCTTGAAAAAAAATGAAATGAAATTTGAATGCTATTTTTGCAGTCATGTCAAATTTAATTTAAATTTAATTTAGGTTGCATGCATACAATTTCATTTCATTTTTTTGAAAATCAATGCTATTTTGAAAACGCATCCAGCATATTTTTTATGGTGACATGTGTGACCACGGTTAGATTTTATTCTCGATGCATAATAGAATTTTAAATTCCAAAATAATGAATAAAAATAAAGGAAGAATTACACAGCATACCATCAAAATCCCGAATTTCAACAGTTCGACCTCGAGCAGCTCCTAACTTTCATCGTCTTCGTTCGCATGTCCGTCGTCGTTCACGACCCGTTCGTTGACTTGTTTGTTCGTTGGTTGGCTGCTTCGTTGGTTGCATGATTGGTTCGTTTGTTCGCTAGTTGGTTGGTTGGTTGGTTGGTTCGTCCGTCGGTATCAAGTTCGAAACTGGCTCTCATCCGTCCATTCTTCCACCCATCCACCCCATCTATCCATCCTCCAACAACCACCCATCCACGTTTCATCCACAATCCATCCATATTCCATCCACGTTTCATCCACAATCCATCCATATTCCATCCACATTTCATACATCCATCCATTCATTTCATGGTGGAGAAGGGAAAAACAACGCCGCCCCACAATGATGATGGAGCATTGTTATAGCAGGCATCACGAGCAGAGGAGGAGCCACTTGCAGTTGGGGATCCACATCGCAAGTAAATACCACCACCAGGTGGGGGGGAATTGGGTTCTTCTCCTCGAGGCCGAGGAAAAAGAAGAGGAGGAGATTGGGATCTGGTTGTGGAAGCGCCGCTTTGTGGGTATCGAACTGTATAACTTGATTGGGGTTTTTCGGAGGGGGAGGGGGATTGATTAACTCCTTCATTTAAGTATTCATGCCAGGGGGGCGGGGGGCGTCAGCTTGTCCCCCATGGTCGGCTACCTATAATTGGTGGCCCATGACAGAGGAGTGCTGCTTCGAATTTGTACGACGGTGAATAGGCATTGATGAGTTAGGGGAAAAGCATCTTGATCGGGTGCAGGGTACAATGGGGAAGGGCGACAAGTGGGCGCGCTGTTGCCATATGCATATTAATACTGGAATTGAATAGGGGATGAGCAATCAATCCGGTTGCAGTCGTTGAGACTGATACGCCAGCATGCGAGCATCGTGTGTGGCTTAGACTGGGACGTGGAGTCGTGAGTGTGGGAATTACAGCATCTCCCCGCGAAGCACACACTGCTCTTTCGAGCTCCGACAATGTCACAGAACACAAGACATGTATTGTTGTGGACGAAGCGTAATGTTGTGTAGCCCCGGTCACGGAAGATGTACTGCAACAATCTGCTTGGACCAATATTAGTAACACGCAGCTGGTATTCAATCAAAGGGATTCTCGCATTTTGCCCGTTCATTTGCCTCTCGTGTAGGAAAAGCTGACATCATCTGAGCAATGCTTTTTGCCTCGACCACAGAACCTAGCATCTCTGCAAACCATCCAATGGTGAGCGAATAATCGTGTGGTAGATCTCAATTCATTCGACAACCTCGAAATGAAAGTTTGAAAGTCCTTGGATGGCGATTATCAATCATGGGTGGGGATCTAAAAATGTGTCCAAATCTTCTAGCACCCACTTTACAGAGACTCGTTTCTGATGACCGACTTGCTACTTCTTCCAATTAGCAACTTCGTGAACCACAGAATCGAATAACTCGATGACCCACTCATATAGTTGCGCGGATTCACTGAGCGTAGACTTGGTTTCTGCTTTTAGCGCTATTTGCCAGTCAATCAAAAATCAGGTTCTGCAATAACAATGCTTTGTTTCTTCAGAAGATCAAGTGAAGTAAATTCAGATAGCCAACTATTTCACATCAAAACTTATCAAATTGTCCCATCAGCGACAGAATTTGATGAGCCAACACATAATTTCGTTCCCTTGCTGGTAGTTTCTCAGGCACGACATTATTCACCTGAAATCATTAAGAAAGCTCAGATAATGATAAAGGAATTACGGAAAAGTGAAACATACGACCAAGTACAACAAAGTAATGAAGCTGAAGAATTGAGGCTAAAAGAGCCCACTGAAGTCACCCAGTAACGCTTATGATTCATCAGAATAATTTTGAGCATTCAAAAAATACGCCACAACGTATAAGAGAATAGAAGCTTACCTCCGTTTCTACAACTCGAATATCACGTTGTACCATTGCCGAATCACCACCGCCATCTGATGTTGGCTGCGGCTTCTTTTCAGGAGCTCCTGATAGAAATCTTAGTCGAATTTCAGGTGCTCGAGTAGGATAGTCCACACCAATTGTTACCTACAAACCATGTCACGTCCCAAAAATTAATAACGCCAGAGAATGATGTGCATAGGGAATATCTCAGTAAGCACATTGTTTAGGGGGAGTGCTGAGGCATTTCATCGTCGCAAATTTAGTGAAGCTTCCACGTGCGAAGGTTATTACCTGCGCCTCCAACTCGACACGCTTTCCAGAGGCTCCATTCTCTCTGCGTAGCACAGCCCTGAATGTACGAGCCCCTGGGGTGTTCTCTGGTGAAGGAAGTACTGTTTCCTCTTCTGCGTTGGGTGCTTTAGCTTCTGCCATCTCAACATCTTGCTGCCTAGTCTCTCCCTCAGAACCTGTAGTAGCTCGTGTCTCATCACTCGTGATTTCCTTAGCCGTGTCTTCACCCTGTTCTGTTCCTTCAACAGCCATACTATCTGCACCTTCAGTAACATCCCTCCTAATTTCAGAAGTGTCAACTGCAGGTTTAGTGTTGCTCATTGTAACATCCATGTCGGTCGGACCAGTAGACGGGAGTTCTCCGTCCTCTTTTCCAGTGTCACTCTCTGCAGTCAGCGAATTTATATTTGATGGCCTTCTATTGGTAGGTGAAGTTTCATTCGTCGACAGCTTTCCATTTTTACTGTCTACTTGAGCCCAAGCTTGCAGAATGGTCTTGGGAGTATGGGAAGTCCAAGACAAGGAGGAATCAGATTTGACAGAGGGACGTCTCAACTTTCCTAGAGAATCGAGCTGGTCTCTGCATGGTTCCAGGCAATACTTCCAGTCAAATGATGCTAATGGACATAAAATAATATGCCTGAAATTAATAGCCATCATGATGTAGTTAATTGAGTGATGGTGTTGTCGTAGTTCCATAATAATAGTAATAATAAGCCAGCGTTCATTGTATAGACCAGATTTGCATAAAACTAACCCCACAAAGAATATTAACTTCGAAAAATGTAAGCAACAATTTCAAGAATATCAGATTTGTTCGGGTTTCATTCGTAAAGCTCTTTCAGATGTAAGAGTACTCACTTCAATGCAATTTGAGCTTTTTTACGAGCTCGAAGATGCTGCAGAACATTCTGAACCCGATGCTGTTGACGATAGACCCGTGATTCTTTTCCCTGTGGAGGAGAGATGGGAAGACTGTCTTTTCCGCCAAGATATTGTACCCACTTATAGGGCCGTAATGTCCTTTTCGCGTCGAATACAAAACCAAAACCTGCTCGTAGCCTTGATGCCTGAAAATGAGAACGGAGTTAGACCAACAATTGAGTCATTATCTTAGACGGCAACTGTTGGTTTTGTCCTAGAATGTTTCTTTACCTTCGTTGGCAAATCTAGGCCCGGGTCGTTGGGAAACAAGTTGGCCAGTGAGAAAGCAGGAGACACGCCTCCCAAAGTCGTGCCTTCCTCACCAACACATAACACATCCAGTGTCGTGAGAAATTCAACCTTCAAGGTAAGAAGCTTGTTCCCTCTCTGCTTTTCATCATATACATGGATTGTGAGAGTCAATGGATGAGACTGGTACACATTGTCCTTCTCAAGGGCATCCTTGTCATGCGGCTTCTTGGCTCGTTTTCGCTGCCTTTGGTTGTCATCATCTTCTGCAAATTCCTGATCACGTCTTCCTCCAGTGCTGCCTGCCGACTTCCTACCTGGAGTAGGAATCAAAATCACAAGTTTAACAATCCAGTTCATCATCGTGATCACAAGATGAGCCAAAATATACAGTCTGTTCCTCAGTGCCTGTTCAGGATGTAAGCATACTCAACCAATTTACACAATTAAATCAATTAACTGTAATAAGATACAAGCAGATGCATGTTTATCGACATCCTATATGATCAAGCGGGGTCATTAGCAGAACACAAATCCTCTCCAGAAAAATAGTAATTATATTCACCACAAGCACTTTAGAGCATAATTAACTTTAACTGTAGAATTCCGGTTCTAGATCAAGAGATATATTACCAGCCTCCTTCAGTGCAAGCTGTTTTGCCATTGTAAGAGCATCCTTGCTACTCCCGACAATTTCCAAATCTATAGCTTCACCAAAAACTTCTTTGTGAGACAACAGCTCCGTATAAAAAACATACAGTGGAGCAGGTAGAAGCTCTGCAAGAGAATCCTGCTTGCTCCGCTTGGTGTGTGGAATCCCCAGCTGATTCTGAACTGGTACAGTGGCTTTCTTTAAGGTTTTAAGATGAGAAGCAAGAGTTCCGAGGAACTTCCGTCGGTTAGCGATATCCCCTTGCAACAACTTCTTTCGAGATTCTAGGATGTCTTTTTGTTTCAGCAATTCCTTACGCTGTCATCGTACAATGCCACAATGTGAACAATTCTTTTTGTTACTGTATGTAGAAGGAAAGAGCAAATAACTAAATGAACAAATCAAAAATAAAAGACCCATCTTGTTCCTCCGAATTAAATCTAATGATCCACAGAATAAGAGAGTTCTGATCTCATCTACTCCAACTGCTGGCCGGAGACACTATGATTGTCAGACACCACTGAGAACTCGTTCAAATTCACAGAAAAGTGAGGAGTGACAATCACCTGATAGAGCTCGAATTTTAGACGCTGTATCATAAGTTTATGAGAGTCATCTCGCAATGCAGGATCAGATTGAAGTTCTTGTGGTGCACTTTGAAAAAAAGTTTCCTCAGGCACTAGGTCAATGTCAGGATATTTAGACCTAAAATCCTTGCAAGTCTTAATAGCCTTAACATAGTGATTCTTTTCGTACAGCAAATTATGAAGTTGCAATGTGATTTGATCGATTGGAGCTTTCGCAGCCTCTGTCTCTAATTTAATTTTGTCCTCCTCTTGCAAAATCTCTCGGTTTTCCTGCATCCATCAACACTTTAAATACAGATGAAAACTTCGTTGCACTGCAAATCACAGCGTAGAACTAGCGAAAGCCTCTGTACCAAGTTATCTTACCCACGCAAACCTAGAATATTCATCAGATTACAATCCATGGAGCTTCATAATCTTGATGTCCCACTTCAGCAGGAAAAAAAAAGAAGAAAAAATGGGAGTCTCGAACACATCTTCCATATCCCCCTACCAAAAAGAAAAACCAAGACTCGAGAGCAGCACAATTCAGCTGAAAGTGGTAACTCAATCACCCAGTTCACCATTTCATGACCAAGATCAAACCAAACTTAGCCCAAGTTCAGAACTCACCCGCCGAAGGTCAATAAACAATACGGAGGCTTCGGTGACGATTTCTCCCATCTGCACCGAGCCCTTGATAATCTGCCCATCGCGCTTCAAGGCCAACATCCGCGCCATCAAGTCCTCCAAATTGCTCCGAATTTTCGCCACGCCCTCGTAGGACGCCTTCTCCACCTTCTCCATCTTCTCAATCTTCTCCGTCGTCTCCATCGTGCTCAACCTTGAGAGTCGTCCCGCTGATACCAATTTGCAAAATGTAGTTCTTCACTACCCCATAACTTCGATAACCTTTGTGGGGTCTAGCTCAACATCATCGGCATCAGTAATCCACATTCTTCGCCATTGTCATCGGCATACACCTTTCCTTTTCAATGCCCAATAAAACCCACGTTCGAGTTACACAATTCCTCTGTCAGGGTTAGGAAAAAAAAAAAAAAAACAAAAACAAAAACAAAACGCACACACACACACACACATTGCCGCGAGCGCTTCGTAAAGAAGCCACGGACGTGATAGCATCGAACAACGATGGTACTGTGACCGAGCATGTGCATGCCTGGTCTTCGAAGGTGCTAAACCAGCTTTTTAGGGTTAGGGCCTAGGGGTTTACTTCTCCTCTGCCCCACTTTCTTGACTTATAAATTTTAGTGATTTTATGTCACTTTTCATGGAGTTTTATCTTTTGTTATTGTTTTTGTGAGTTGTGTTTTAAATTGTGAACATTATGTAGTAAGATAGAAAAGTTGAATGTTAATCATTATTCTAGTAAAGAAAGTTTTTTAAGTAAGTGTTATTTTTCTTGTATATTATATTTCAAAGTTGTAGTGCCACCAAAGTAATAATTATCACATGACATTAATAATCCTTTACAATGGCATTAAATAATATCATTAAAATAAGTATTTATTGATTTGAGTCTAATTATCTCATTGCCCTCTCTTTGTACAACAAGCTGAGTGTTTTTGAATTGGTGAGACCAAATCATGTGTTTTGTTTCTCAATCTTAAGTCTCTTTTTCGTATTTTTTAGTATTTAAATTTGTAAAATAAGACAAAAGTATATGTATAAAATAAATAATCACAATTAATTGTGAGTTATTTGTTTTTTGATAATGCCTCTAAAATACGATTGTCCTTGCTATTTCATAACACCGATGATGCAAATAGGATTTGTTGAATAAGTAATACTAAAATAAAGATCTTATCTAAATCTATAAGATATAATATCTTAATTTAGAACCCTCTTATAATAGTACATGTATATTAATACAAGGTTATTAGGATTTTTAATTTTTTTAGAGTGTTATAATAAATATATCTAAATTTTAATCACACCAAATTATGTAATGATTCATTCTTAACCATTAAGTAACAAATTATTCTTTGAATATTCAATCATAGAATTTTAAGATATCAAATTTATTTTCTTATAAAATTCCTTATAGACTAGAAGTACTACATACAAAGAATGTATGTTTTATGAAAACCTTAAATACTAATTTATTGATGAAGATTATGATAAGGCATCTTAATTGCCACCACAGTTGTCTAAATATAATTGCATGCATATACATAATTGTGGAAAGATGCTATCAATTTAATAAATATTGCAAATCTAAAATAAGTATTATCAACTTATATCTTTGTGTAAGGTATGGACAATAAGACAGTCATACATAAAAGATGTCAAAGATTTACAAATAAATTCACAATCACAATGTGACAACATTAAAGAATGCCAAGTTCAATTTATTCTAAATTGTTTAATAGATAAAAGCTTAAAATTGATATTTACAACTAGTTATGCAAATAAAGATTGTCACTATTAGTATAGTTGAAAGAAAAGAATGACAAAAATATATGTGAGTTTTTTTACATTGATATGAAAATAGTTATAAGTTGTCATATTAATCCATTGATTTATAAAGCATTTTAATATACTTCATCAATATATATGGGATGTGATAAAATAGAAACATCTATTAAAAAAATGTTTATATATATAGTATTTATTAATAATTATGTTATATTATATTTTAAGAGGAATGTTAAATAGACTTAGATTTTTGCTAAAACAACCTATCCATAATGAAGTATAAGGTAATCATAATGAATGAGGTTGGTTTTTATCGAATTTGGATCAAATAGTGGAGAAATGAATCCCGAGGTCATTTTTCTTTTTTCTTTTTTCATGATGAGTATGTGAATTTAGTGAAAACCTTGGTCTATTTCACATTCAACTATTTTAATTATAAATAAATTAGATTCAAGGTTTTGCAAAACTTGTTTTGTGGGCCAAGGGCTTCATTTGTATATGGCATCTAATACAACTAAGTGTTTAAACTATCAAAGCCTTAAAGTCTCAAATGTTGTTTGTTTTTACTTATTTGTGATGCATGGCTTGTCCCTTGTTTTTTTAACAATCCCACCTGTAATATTCATACTTGCAATATTTTAACAAACTTCAAAAACTTAAATAATTTCACCTAAAAACATCTCTATTTTCAATTCACGATATATTTCTAATAAAACATTATCCCAAATGGTCAAAATTTATTACCTATATATCATAATGGTTCTTTTTTAATACTACAACAAATCAAAGTACAATAGAATCTACAAAATGATTCATATTAATAATAAATGCTAAAAAAAATTACGAAGTAAAAAAGACAAGATCAAAGGTTAGTTTAGAAAATATTAATCTATGTTTATAGTTATTATTTAAGGATATGTAATCTTATAGAAAGCTTTTTTGTTAGTTATATTTATGTATGAAGGCAAAATAGAAATGTTTTTTTTTTTTTTTTTTTTTCCAATAGCTTGCTCATATTTCAATCCTAATTCAAAAATATATATATATATATATATATATAAAATTTTATAGCCATTTTAAATCCTTTTGCTTTATAAATACTAATATATATATATATATATATATATATATGAGAATATTAAATAGACCCAAGCTTTTACTAAATCAACTCACCCATGATGAAGAATCCAGTAATCATGATGAATGTGGTTGATTTTCATTAGTTGTAGATCTAATAGTAGATAAATAAGTTTAGATGTCATTTTTATTTTGATGAATGTTAGGATGGGTTTGTTGATTTAGTCAAATCCTAGGTCTATTTAATATATATATATATATACATAAATACAATATATATACATAAATACACTTTATATATTATCAATAAATATTTTAAATTATTCATTCTTTAAAATAAAAACAGTTGGTTTGTTTTCTTCCTTTAGTATTCCATGTTGCACAAATAAATTAAAATATGCATACACAACACAATAATGCACAAAATAAGATTTTAATTTTTAATTATCAAATAAACAAATAATCTAATTTTACATTTGACTCAATATTTTGATGAAATCCATTGTTGTTGTTCATTTAAGAGAATATATATAACTTGCTTATTTAAGAAAAAATATTTTGTATTCTTATCTCTCCAATTGGATTATTGATCAACTACTGTATAAGTGATTTTAGAAATGGGTATGCTAAGTTGCCACTGTTGAAAGGTATTGATTTAGTGAATGGGTTAAAAATGTTTATTATTTTCAGACCTTGGAACTTTTTTAATGCATACATTGGGTTTTAAATATCTAATTAATCAGTGATATAATTTGAAAATAGAAAAAAAAAGTTAAAAAGTACAATTATTATACAGAAGAAGTTGTAAAAAGTAACTTATCTCAATGTTGATTTAAAAAGAAAGCATATTGTGTATTGATACAATCAATCATTAAAAGAAATTTGTTAACAATCTGCTTGCATAACACATGTGCACATGTGTGCATAACTCTTACAGTGCATCAATGTCATCAATTATGATATTATATGTTATTGTACATTAACAATCTGCTTTAGCATATTTCTACTACTGCAAATCAAGGGTCTTTGAATGCTACTATGCAGAGATACTATTAAGATTTTGTTTAAGAGATTTGTGTAAAATTATGATTTTAAAAGTATGAATTTTTATTTTTTATTTTTTATAAAAATGAAGTCTAAATCTAAAACCACAGGATTTACGAAGTTAAAATTTCAAATCTAAGTGTGTTTCTTATATATGTATACATATATATATATATATATATATATATATAATGGTTTGTTTTTGTTATGTTTTTGTGTATGTGTAGGTTTTTGTTTGTAAAAGTTGATTTAATTTTAATGTGGTATTATTGAAGCATGTTTGTACAATACTTGGTTTACATTTTCAGCATAGAAATTTATTAATGTATTTACTAATGTATTAAATTTTTATTTTACGTCAAAAACTTGCTTTTTAATATATCGCTCCTAAACCAAGCAATTCCCTCTAATCCTATTTATTCTTACCATTATATTTTCCTCAGTCCTCAGCTCGCATGGGCATATGGAACATGTTCCCATTTCCAACGTTCCCTTCCTCCCTATTCAAATGACTCACAGAGAACATTATGGTACTCGGTCGAACGAATGAGAACGTTAATGGGAACAGAAATTAGGGTTTGCAGCATCGGACGGCAGGGAGCGGAGCCGGAAATAGGGACTGCGAAGTTTGGTTGTAAGGGTTTGCTGGAGCCTCTGGTGCTCTCTCTTTGAAGCGCCTCCCCCTCAGGTTGCCCCTCGTCGCGCTCTGGTGCCGTTGCCCTGGGAGCTCGCTTCGCCATGGTTCGTGTACCTCACTGTTTTTACTACTTCGCCCTCATCAAACAAACAAACCACCTCTGCTCTTGCTTTGTTCGCCGTTTCCTTCGATTCAGCGCCACTCACCGTATTCGTTTTTCTATGTTGTGATCAGGCTTTTATCAAGCCTAACAAGACCAAGGCCTACTTTAAGAGGTTTCAGGTCAAGTACAAACGCCGCAGAGGTAAGGTTTTTATTGTCCCGGACTAGTTTGTGATTTCGTCAGGGTTGTAGTGTTTTACACTACTGTGTCGAATTTTTAGTTGTTGATGAGGATTAGGGTTTGATGGACTAGTCCATGGAGCTGACTGCGAGTGGCTGTTTATACAGCTGGAAAGACCGACTACCGAGCTAGGATTCGCCTGACCACCCAGGACAAGAACAAATACAACACCCCGAAGTACCGTTTGGTCGTGCGATTTGTATCCTTTTATGTGTTGCTTTGATCATGAGGATCTTTTTGCAAGTCGTTCCAACATTTGAGAGAACTATGACGGTGGCTTTTTTGAAGCGTATCTGTTCATCGCCGTCCTCTGACCTTGCTGGTAGTCATTGTCAATGCGATTCTGCATTGCGTTTCTTCTATCTATTGTGTTAGGTTTATTAGGGTTTACTCTTTTATGTGTCATTATTACCTTCCTGTCGTTGGAACGCCTTAATTCTACTCTTCCAGACCAACAAGGACATTGTTGCCCAAATTACCTATGCTACTCTGGCTGGTGACATTGTGCTCACCTCTGCTTACGCCCATGAACTCCCCCGATATGGGCTTAAGGGCGGTCTAACTAACTACGCAGCTGGTACGTTTGCCACATGAATGCCTATCCTTTGTATGTCATATGTTTTGATGCCTTCCCTTGAAGTAAGATTATGTTGACGAATGCGGTATCGTGGACAGCTTACTGCACTGGTCTCCTTTTGGCCCGCCGTCATCTGAAGAACTTCGAATTGGACCAGGAGTACGTTGGTAACGAGCAGGTTCGCTTCTTCACCTGCGAAATGTTGAAACGTTCATGATTTGGTCAAATGCAGGCATTCGATTAGACATTATCGCGGCTGTACTCCAATATATATCTATCACCTTCATAGTTTGGAATCGGATCCGTACATCACATTGATTTCCTAGAATCCTGTTCAACATGCAAATGCAGATGTGTAGTCTACAAATAGAAATGTACACATGATACACCAATTACGTAATTTTCGTTTTTTTGTTTACATGAATTTCGCGGTTTTGTTTTGAACAGGCTACTGGTGAGGACTACAATGTTGAAGAAGGAGAAGGGAAGAGGCCATTCAGAGCTCTTTTGGATGTTGGTCTGGTGAGAACCACCACAGGCAACAGGGTTTTTGGTGCTCTCAAGGTATTTTGTCCCCTCCTCGATGCTGGCTAATGAGAGCTTCGTTTATCACGGGTGAACGGCGCTGATGACCCAGTAATCCATAGGTTAAACTTGCGTGCTTACATGATAGTGCTCTGCTGTAGTTGTATTTCGATGAGAGGACCAATACGACCCTAGAGTATGTGCCTAGCTGTCTACGTATTCACGATCCCTATTGCGAAAAGGATAAGTAGATATTTCTTAACTTTTGAGATTTGAAATTCTGCAGGGTGCCTTGGATGGTGGATTGGATGTTCCCCATAGTGAGAAGCGGTTCGCTGGTTACAGCAAGGAGGATAAATCCTTGAATGCTGAGACACACCGCAAGTACATTTTGGGTGGACACATTGCAGACTACATGAGGGTGTGTACTTTTATTTCAAACTTGAACTTCACATTACTTTTGTAGCGCCGGTCATCTCTTCGTGGTGACTTACCTCACTTCATCTTTTCCTGGGTGTAAATTCAAATTTCAACTCTCATTTTATAACCGTTTCGGACTCAATATCTGAGATATCTAAGTTGTTTCCTTGAGGTTTTGCAGCTCTTGAAGGAGGATGAGCCTGAGAAGTATCAATCTCATTTCAGCGGATTCATCAAGGCTGGTGTCGAGGCTGATAACCTTGCAGAGATGTACACGAGTGTGCATGCCGCCATTCGTGCAGACCCCACTCAACAGAAGACTGAGAAGAAGGCCCCGGCTGAGAAGAGGAAATGGAAGATCCAGAAGTTGACCTACGAAGAGCGACAGGCTGCCTTGGTTAAGCGTCTCAACGCCGTCAATGGTGACAATGACGAGTAGTCCTAGGATGGAATGCCTGCCACCGTTTTTCGGAGATAGGGGTGTTGTAGGTAGGTCCTGGCTTTTGCTAGAATGTCGTACCTACTTTGTTCATGTGCAATCGAGTTTAAGATTCTCATCTTATCATCATTTTATCACACGATCTGATCCCTTACTTGTTTGGACTTCCTTTGTGTAATACTGTTTGAGTTCGAGTACGTAATCAAGCTTAACACCTGGTGCTACTTTCATGGTTAGAAGCATGTCAGTGAAATCTTGCTGTTTGGCTGTGACCCCACACACTTCCTTTATGTCTACTTCCACAGCGAGTCCAAAATAGCCTTGTTGAGTTGCAGTTAACGCACCTCGCTAGTGCTGTGCTAACACCGGATCGTTTTGCACCTGAGTTGTGTATTAAATTCAATTTGCATGGTGTTCTCATAATTCGACGACACGGAACTTGTGTTGAATCTGTCAGTACACTCTCACTGTACAGATTATACAGTATGTAAGAGATGTACGTGACTAGAATCATTCTATCCATTGCTCTGGATTTTCTTTTGGCACATCTGTCTCTAGATAATTAAACTTTTTCCAAGTAGGTTCCTAAAACAGTAAGTATTCGTTTTCTACTGTTAACGTTTGAGGATAGAATTCTGTGATCTGCACAGCTTTCAAGACTATCCTTCCCAGACAGATAGAAACAATGAACCATTGAAATCAACGCCCGAGGGCTGCCACTGTTCTTGTGTGGGACTCATATTTTTTTGTCCCTTCCTTGGCCGCCCATTCGGTTCGAATGTGCCCACAACGCTATGTACCGTACAAGTCCCTTGGAATGGACCACTCTACTTCTATTGCTGCAAAAAATCCGAGTTCTGGTCCACACCACGTGTGGATACCACACCCTTGAATGTCATCCTATGGCTTTCAATCGAGTAGTTTGTGCTTTGTGACATATATATTATGTTCATATTTCACAGGCACACATTCTTCACGTGCCAACACAAAAGCGCTAGAATGTTCAAAACTCTCCCCCAGTTGTGAAGACAAGACTTTTGTGTCCTTCTTGATCTGTGTCTCTTCCGATGATATTGGACAACAACCAAAAGGATAAAAGCGTCGTTTTTCTTACGCAATTTGGTATCTTAAGTAAAAAAAGATTACATATATATATATATATATATATATATGTATAGATATCTACTAGCGGAAACCTGTGGAGTTGGGGACCATGATCGCTGCCATCCATCCATTCCCTTGTTAATCCATGTTTGGTCAATGAGAAGGTTTCTTTATGTGCTTATTTTAGACCTAAGATGTTATATATATATATATATATATATATATATATAAACTGAAATTGAAATTCTAATCTTGAAAGAAAATAAATCTGTAATTTGTCTATGATCCAAATTGTAGATAGTAACCATTGTGGGTGAATGTCCCACTTAAATCCCATGCATTTTAAACAATATATGTGTATATTTTAAGTCAAGGTTATATAATATATATATATATATATATATATATATTTATTAAAGAGTTGTGATGATTTTATGTATCACTAATTTTAAAATGATTGAATTTCATTCTTTTATTATTATTATTATGGTACTATAGTTATTGATATTACTTCTTACATGATTGAAGTTTGTTGAGTATAATATTAAGGATGATTTTAAAAAAATAAGAGTGTGAATGAGTGAGGTTAGAAGAAATGTGATGGTTCTTTATCATATGTATGCATGTATGTATATTTGCACACAACTCAAATCACTTTTGATGTTGAAATAAAAAAGTTCAAAACTCATTATTGTTAAATGTTGAATGTACTTTATCACATTCATATAGTTATCACTTTCAAGACCATTCGAAACTGGATTTCAAGATAAAACATGTTCATGGAAACACAATTCATTTTTGGTCAAGAATGAAAGATCTGCTACAAAAACTCCACATCGAAAAAATGAAGAACACCTTTAACATTGCCAGGAAGGAAGTTTAATGATGAGATTTACTACCTCAGAGAAAAACAACATGAATACCAATAAATTTAGAAAATCCAAAAGTCTCTCATTATTTATTTATATATTTCTTCTTCTGCTTCTTGAGGCAATTTTACTGAAGAGGGTGAGAATAAGGGAGATCTTTATCCCGTCAGTAAACCCAAAGCAAAACATGAATACATGAATCATTGAATTATGAATCCAATGATTCATATATTCATATTTTTATATGTCAGAGGAGAAAGCTGGACAAACAAAAATAGACTGTTACTTTAATCCACCACTTTTACTGACCACCGGTGCCAAAAAACCCGCCAGAATTTTACACTTTCTTTTATAAGCCTGTTTAGCAGTTTGATTAATCTGATATTGAAAGCCGTAGATACCCAACTCCAACACACTTCACAATCACTGCTGTACTAAGCATTAAGACACATCACCGCTTTGCAAACAAAGTTGACGAATTCATTCAACAACAAACTCCCAGGCCATGCTAAGAAACATACGTTTCTTTTTTCTTTTTTCTGAGCATTGCTATAATTATATAATTACATGAAAAAAGGATAAAACGTACACCACTGCTTTCTGTCATTCTGATTCTTCTGTCACTTATTTGTTGTTTTGTTGATTTCTGGCTTTCTCTGTCTCTGCGCTGGGCCTCGAGAAGAACGGAGCTCATTGGGAGTGGCGATGGTGCTGTTGAGCTCTGACTGCAGAACGAGACCACCGTAGACTGAAGCTCCCGTGTGCGAGTGAGGCTGTTAGTAAGTGGCTGCAGAAAATGAGTCCCATACTCTTCATGGTCATTCTGATGCTTGCTCCACAACGCTAAAGCATGGGTGTTGATTCCCTCTTACCTCTTTTACTATTGTTGTTGTTGGTCTCGCTCCATCTCGAGTGTGCATGCTCCTTCCTCTTTCTGCACAGGGAAACCTCCTATCTTGCCGCTCCTCGACCTCACCATGCTGCTTCACACGGAGGAGCCTGCTGACATGGATCCATTGTTTTTATCGTCCCCCTCCCCACAAGCACTCAGCTGGCACAGCCAGTCAAGATTCTTTGGCATGCTAGCCATCGATTCGGAACAGATTTCTGCACTAAAGTTGTATTAAAATAAAAAGAAAAATAGAACTAGGGCTTGGGGTTTGTTGAAGTGCTTTATTTGGAGTGTTCGTGTGAGTGAACCTGGGTTGGTGCAGTGAACCCAGCAGTCGGTCGAAACTGGGGGTCCTCCGAAGATGCCTGATTATGGTAGAAAAAAAAAAAAGAAAAAAAAAGAAAAGGTAAACATTTCAGATTAGGCCCATGGAAATCCCCGTTCCATCGGTGTGGCTAACGGACGGAACTTGACCAACACTGGTCCGCTGCCAAGTGACGCCTCGGAAAATCACCTAGCGCCGCCCAGTCGTGGAAGCCGTCGCCGGAAGATTCTGGGTCAATTGCGTTTCCTCACATGCGCCTAGTTGCGTCACTCTCTGCTGCTGCTCCTGCTGCAGACGCTGTAAATGCGACGAGTGGCATGGTGTCTGAAGTCCAACACTCTCTGAATGTTGCAGTTAGGAAAATCATCACATTTTGTATAAAGAAATGCATTTTTTATTTCTTTGTTCTATTTGTTTTTTGTTTTGTTTTTTTTTTTTTTTTATAGTTTCCTGGTGCTTTTATTTTATGCTTTTGGCAGTATTCGAATGGGAATCAGGTGCTAGATCTCGAACCAATCAAAATTTTCAGTTTGACGGATCGGTACATTGCAGATGTAAAAATAATAGCAGGATGAAAAATCTTATGATATTTCACGTTTTGAGTTTTACTTGATATTTCAACGAATCCACAGAACGTGAAGTGTAGAGAGAGAGAGAGAGAGAGAGAGAGAGAGAGAAAAAAAATAAAAAAGAGAGAGAGAGAGAGAGAGAGGAAAAAGGATCCCCATAGGAATAGGATTCATCAATTAGATTTAAGACAAAATTTTGACATCCAGGGTCGTCATGCTCACGATCCAAGAGGAGGAAAGACAGAATACATGACGTAGTAGTACAAGTTTTAATTGGCTAATAATAACTAGCAAAAGTTAGAACAAGTATCATTAACTCTTACATCGTTTCGCAGGAATGATCTTGTTTGTTTCTACAATTACGTGCCTGACCACGTCCACCAAAAACCTTTGAGACAAACTCTTTCACTGTGAACCAAAATCACATCACAAATTTCAAAACAAAACCAATATTGACCTACTTGAACTTCACACTAGAACCTCCACAAACCGCAATGAATTTTTGGTGGAGAGACAACGTCGAGGAAGTGTGGGGGAGTATAATGAGTAAAATATATCCCAAGGCAACTTAATTAAACATAACTTCTTTCGTGTGACTAGGTAGTGGCAAGAGTTAAAAAAATCTGCTGTGGATGTACGTATATTGCGGCAGGACGGACATCCTCTGCTGCAGAATGGAGGACAGGGGCATGTCATGTCATGTCAAAGGCACGATAATTCATGAAATGAAGTAAAGGCCAGACTGGAACTTTCGGTGCTCACTGCTGGAGATTCTTTGCCGGGGTAGAAACTAGATTGTTTAACCGGCTGCGTTAAGTTCAAGCTCTTAAGATAGATTCTTAAGAATAAGAGTGACTGAGCACATGTCTGCAACTCGGTTCCGGGGGAAGGCTTCTCACATGCATGAAACATGCCCGGGATTGGCGCCCGCAGTTTGACAATAAGGAGAGCGTGGGCTATTCCGGTCAACCTCGTGGGGGTGGGGATCAGTGAGGTTAAAACCATATTGTGGCGTAGACTTTGTATAGTCGTCGTTACCGAGTGTGCATTGTGGGTTACATTCGTATACACTACCGAGTGTAAAGAGCCGACTTGGAATCCGGCCCTAGCAGGTGCACAACTTGGGGTGTCTGTGTAGTTGGGAGTTGTTGGGGAAGCTTTCAAAGTATAAGAACAGGATTTGTGAGGTGGGCGTGGTGTGTGTGTGTGTGTGTGTGTTTGCAAGTCCTGGTGGTAGTGTTGGGCAAGCATGGCAGTCCCTTCATCCAAGCTGCCGTTGAAGGCGATTCCTGGAGACTATGGAGTCCCCTACTTCGGTGCCATAAAGGATCGACTAGACTACTTTTGGTTGCAGGGGGAGGAGCAGTTTTACCGAAGCCGGATGGCCAAGTACAATAGCACGGTGTTTCGTGTCAACATGCCGCCTGGCCCTCCAATTTCCGAACACCCTCAAGTCATCTGCCTCTTGGATCAGAAAAGCTTTCCAATTCTGTTCGACGTTAGCAAGGTTGAGAAAAAGGACGTGTTCACAGGAACATACATGCCGAGTGTGAGCTTCACCAGCGGGTACCGCGTTTGCTCCTACTTGGATCCCTCTGAGGAACGCCACACGAAGCTCAAGCAATGGTGCTTTGAAGTCATTGCGATGAACGGGCGGAACTTTCTTCCCGAGTTTCACAAGTCGATTGAAGAGTCGATGGTGCTCTGGGAGACGAGTCTGGCCAAGGGCGAGAAGACTAGCGTATCGGATGAGGTGAAACAGTTCGCGTTTAATTTCCTGATGCGCGCTGTATGCCATCACGACCCCGCTGCGCCTGGAGAATACAGCTTAGGGCGTAATGGTGGCCCGTATGCAACCGCCTGGGCAAATCCCCAGCTCGCTCCGATTGCAGGACAGACGGGTCTCCCCCATGTCGTGGAGGAGCTCGTGTTACACACCGTCCCACTCCCCTCTGCCCTGGTCAAGAAGAACTACGATGCCCTCTACAATTTCATCAAAAACTACGCCACCGAGGCGCTGGATAGGGCTGAAGCTATGGGCATCGAGCGCAATGACGCCACTGCCAACCTGCTGTTCTTCCTTTGCTTTAACGCCTACGGCGGATTCAACATCTTCTTCCCCCTCATCACTATCCTCATTTCTTCATGCGGTCCGGAGCTCATGCACGATCTCCACGACGAAGTCACCAAGGCCGTCGCCGCCACAGATGGGAAAGTCACTCTTCAATCCATCGAGAACATGCCATTGGTGAAGTCCGTCGTCTACGAAGCTTTCCGATTCAAGCCCCCAGTGCCATACCAATACGGCAAGGCCAAGTTCGACTTCACCATAGAGAACCACGAAAACTCCTTCGAGGTCAAGAAGGGAGAAATGCTGTATGGTTATCAACCTATCGTGATGCACGACCCCAAGGTCTTCTCGGACCCAGATCAGTTTCTACCTCGACGATTCATGGGCCCCGACGGCGAGAAGCTCATCAAATACATCTTCTGGTCCAATGGTTACGAGACTGACAAGCCGACTACCGCAAACAAGCAGTGCGCCGGAAAGGACTTGGTGGTCACAATGGCGCGAGCATTCGTCGCAGAAATGTTCTTGAGATATAAAGAGTATACCCTGACCATGGAGGGCGCAGGAAATGCGACCAAGGTTTTCTTTTCCGATCTCAAAAAGTGAGGAGTTCGTCTCCGAGAACAGCTCTAGGACTTGTATATAGGGAGCACCCAAGACATAGCCAAACCCTGTGCATCTGTCGCCTACTTCAGATTGTCCGTTTCGTTGCTGTGACTAAAGTTAGAAGGACCTGTATGCCGAGATGTGAGGACTAGTTGTCCCACTCTCAGTTCATCAACTTCCAGAGCTTTTGTAATTTTGCATTCGAGATTTTCGAATGCCCGGGTGAGAAATGGATTCATTTCTGCGGCGAGAGCTTGGAGTTGTTGGCGCGCAACTTTCTGGTGCGGCATGGCCACCAATCGATCTCCAAGTGTTTGCGTTATATAATCAGAACTAGGGCTATCTGTTCAAAATTTTAAGAGAACGCTCTGATATCGTATAGTTTGTAATTAGTTTCAGATTCCAAGCACCCTTTCTTTTCTTTTTGTTTCTCCTGCTTTTTCATGCATTCCTGCAATTATGTCCGTTTTCGCGAGGTCTCTCTCCTACATCCAGCTTTTGCAAAAATAAAACTCTCTTCGGCTTGGAAGCTGAACAAATGAAAAGCTGTAATGTCACTCTGTATAATCTCTTTGGAGAAACGTGGTTTTTCTGAGTCAAAGTCCGACAGCTACAACTCAGAGCTCAGTACCTAGTCTCAGCTGTTGGATGTGGAATCCTTGATATCTTCCATTGGTACCAAACCCATTTGAACTACTACTCCTGGAAACGGAAGCCGTGTGCCCAGTCAATATCGACATCGATACGGACAGTTTTCTTCCAGGAAACTTTGGTAGGGATCGCAAAGCTAGATCATCTTCACCGTATATTTATACGCTTGAATGGCCCTCCCTTGTTTTCAGATTCCAAACATAGTCACACTCCTTGAAATCGTGACGCTGTTTTAAGTGGATGGATATGGCCTTTAATCACGAGCATACAAGCGTCTCGACCGTCGATTCTTCGGTGATGTAGTCGCCAGTGAAGCACAGGTTTGCTCATTTATAATACCAACATCCAACGAGGCTGTGAAGTTGTGTCTTAACATTAATCGACGTTGAGATTTTGCTCACATGAAAATGTCTCCCATTTGTAAGATCACATTTCTTTCATTGAATATATATATATATATATATATATATATATTATCTTTAACTGGTGTAAAAATACACTTCTGACTTCGTAAAGTTAATCTGGGTGTTGATGATGGTTGACCTAGTGTGGAGAACAGGCTAATAGAATCCTTTTTTTGGGTGGGAAGTAAAAAAACATGTGTTATATAAATCTGTAATAAGATAAACATGATATTATTTTAAAAGAAAAAACTGCAAATTAAGAAGATCGAATCAGAATTATTCTTTTTGTCATATGTCAAGTGGTTGTGAATGTGAAAGTGGATGCCAAGACAACTTAATGACACAAAAAGAAAGAAGTGGGAATCCACATGGACTTATTGAAGGTCCCACAATGACATAATTTTATAGCTTGTGATGTCACTAGATTCCCTCTACAAGTCTATGTTCACCCACTCAACTAGAAAGATTCACATAATGAAGATGTGATGGCATATGGTGTTGCATGATTCTATGTAACTTGTCATTAGAAAGCCAAAAGAGCAAAGAAGATGCACATCATGGCATACTTTGCGTGTTGACCATAACCCATCGTCTTCATAAACCAAGAAGATTTGTTAACTACATCTACTTAAGCTAAACTTAAAATAAAATAAAATAGATGTAGTTTTTAAATGGTACATACACTTTAAAGTTATTAGAATTTTTTTTTTAAAGAGATATGTACAATACTTAACTAATTTTTGTATTGTTTTACTTGTTAACAATCTTTGGATACTTCTTTGATACTTTCTATTTTCTAATATAATAAATGCTTTCATAAACAAATCTCAACGCATGGTAAATTAAATTCTTCTATTGTCTAGTTTTATGTTATATATTTTATTTATTAAAAAAAATCAATATTACATATATTTGAAATAAAAACAAGGATAAAAATGATCAATGTCATTTTAAAAAAAAATTTAAGTATTTTTTTTCTTAATCATTAAATATTAAAAAATTAATATATAATAATAAGTATTTTAATTATATAATTATGTGTATAACTATAACTATAAATAATATTTTTATGTTGTGTTAAAAAATAATATTCAAATATAAAAGTATAATTTACATAAGAAATTATATCAATCTTTATTGGCTAAAGCAGCAATCTCTATATTCTTCTATGCATAATGTTTTTTATTTTTAATTTTTTTTAAATATCAATTTATTCTAAATTATTTCTATTGGATTCTAAATTTGTCAAAATAATGAAATGAGTGTAATTTCTACTTATTAAACTTTGAAGTTGATTATTTTTTTAGAAGATTTAGATTACAAGATAAGTTCTTTAAAATTTTGAACCTTGTTTTTAAAATTTGGTTCTAAAAAATTTATACAGAAAAATGTCACAAAAAAATAGACAAAATTTAGTATAATAAAGTTACTATGACTTTCATCTTCTGTAAAGCAAGATCCATAAATGACATTTAATTTGTTTTTTAACTATTGTTTTGTTGTCTAGGTGCAACTTAATCATTACTCATCTATCTATTTCCCTCTCATTTTTTAGTATTTTATTTTAAAAATATTTCGTCCGTTTCTTCATTGAACTCCAGGATAATATCTCAAGCTTTCAACGTATTTCTTCTCTTTTTCTTCTCGTTTTGTTTTTCTCACTTTTGTGCACATTTGACCATGTTAAGTTGGGGAAAGGAGGGGAGATTATGAGACATCGATTTTATTGTGAGCAACACACATACTTGTAGCAAGAGAGGAGCAGCAGGAGGAGGAAATTAAATGTTAAACGTGGAGGATGAGGCCTCAGGTAGCAGTAGAGAAGGTTTTTGGCAGATTGAAAGGATGGCCGATTCGAAAAGCAGGGACAGTTTTGTTTCATGGGAGTGATGTTGCTGTTTGTGATTGAAGTGGTTGTATGAGCGGTTAAACAACCAATTATTTTTCACTTGATTAATCCCATCACCATAAGTTCAATTTTTTTTCTTTTTCTCCAGTGCAAAAGAATTATTCAGTTTCCTGCATCACAGTTTTTAAACAACAAAATTGGTTGTCTGGAGTTTGATCAGTTTCGGAGGTACCTCAGTTGTATGCGGAGACAGTGTCACAAGCGCCACTCAACTGGGTCCCTTGGGCTCGGGAAGCAAATCAATGAAATGCTGTCTGACGACGTCGGAGATGGAAGATATTTGCATAGAAGTGCATCTTTGGTCGATGCAACTTTTTCTTGAATGGTTCTTCTAGAATGTGCTGTAGGGCAGAGACCCAGAATAGACAAGTCATCGGGCTGGCAACGAGCAAACTTCCTGTTGCAATTCTCAGAGCTTTCAGCATTTTGGGATTTTGGCATTTCACCATAGTATCGATCTGAGAGCTTCATGTGTGACTGATGTGGGGACTTCTCTTCGATTTTACTTTACTCATACGCTACATCATCACAGTACCGACGTTAGAACCAGGCATTGCAGTTTGAAAGTTCCAAAATCTACAGTTGCGAGTGCATGTGAAAAGGCTAGAGAATTCGAGAAATGAACATTGAACAACTTGCACACTATAGGTTCTTCAAAATTCTCGTGATAGTAGTGGGTGTTTGATGTTGGAGGAAGAAATTTTCCATCCCCTGTGCAAGATTATGTAACCAGTCAGGGTTTGAAACCAGAAGGATGTGTGCTTTATCCCTGAAGCAACATGCATAAGCATCTGTAAACATGTCTTGGCTCCGCTGATGTTCAGTCATGGAGAGCTGATCTTGCTCCGAGTATGTCACGTACTTCTCTTTTCGGAGGCGGCAAGCAGGATGGCGCATGGGCCAAAACACTTAATCACTACCATATACAACATGTGTTCGCAGTAAACTCTTGAGCAACAACGTAGAGATTCCAATCACACGAATACTGGATATTTTAAGGCTTCTCAACATATGAAGAGAGTTCGTTTAAACGTGCTTGCTCCTCGCTGCTTCTGCCACAAAGAATGCTCCAACACGGGCCGTCGGCAGTTTAAGTCAACATGCCGAAAGAGCAGTGTCATCTTCCTGTAAAATTCCCAAGAGGTAAAGAAAGCATCCATTTCACCGAAACCCAGTGCGTTCGTTCGCAAAGACGCATGCGGCATCTTCAGCCTGCGAAGCAAAGTGGGCCTCGAATTAACCCAGAATCAGCCACTGAGGCCTCAGCAGTCCCTCATAAACGACTCAATCCGCACGATGACGAGCTCCAAAACCAAAGACAAGAAATTCTTCCATGTTGAATCATGGTTGAAGTAGGTCATATCTGTGTTAGTAAACATGCTTGCAAGAGTGAACCCAGGCTCGCTCCATCGCAGAACCCTGTACGGGTGTTTGTCTCATGTGAAGGAATAACAAACTTACACAAAACCCAACTACTAAGTCTGCAGGTTGAAATACAAGCTCAGCGATCACATCAGCTCTCAAATACTGGCAGCCTACAAGAGTTACTGCATGCAATTCCGCACCCACTCATACCTAATTTGCTGCGGAGGTCAATCACCATGAGATCAAGACTCATGGCCAACGGAGTCGCTGGAACGAAAATCTCGCCGAGAGCCTACAAGATTTGTGACCTAGTAGAAAGACATCGCCAACGATACATACCATCACAGAGAGATATTAGTCGCTCACTTGTACAGCTCAACTACCCAACATCAGATTTTTCACTCGCCTTCGAACACTTTGCTCAAACCCGATGCCTCATTGGCTCGCCGGCTCCGACATCCACTCTCGCATTATGAAATAAGGAATTACTTCCCAGCACAGGAGTCCATTCGCAACCACAGTCTTGACGCATCACGCCCAATGGGTACTGCAATTGTCTTGTATTTATCTATATATGTATGGTAAAACAATGGTCAGATGAGTAAAACCAGGAGAAAAGAAAACGGAAAGTCTGGATACACACACGACGGAGGCCATCATGCAGCTAATGAAATGCATGCCACCACACCACTAAGTCAAGTCACATGCAGGATCTGAACAGCTGCTGCGACTGGCTTCGCGGGTGGGCCCGAATCGGTGACAGGATTTGCATGCCAGCGAATACTAAGCATGGGTCCCATGCGTGTTATTGTAGCTGGCGTTTGTGGCCAGGAGCTCGCCGAGGTCAGTACTCGCGGGGATTGGTCTCCTGGATTGCCGGGTGTTATCGATACCTGCCCCCTTACCATTGCTCGCCTTGTACTGGGCCCCTGCTTCTAGCACGCATTCATTCCCAAAATTTCTCTGCTTACTGGGCGTCGTTGCCACTGGGATTATTTTAACATCCTATCGCGCAAAGAGATAGGGCGAATCGGAGTTGACGATCGTTTTCAGCCCCTCGCATTAGCGGCTGTGCTGCTTGCAATACTGCGCTCCAGGTTTCCAACGCTTCAGTTCACTGCAATTCCCAGCCCCTTATTATATAATCACTTTTGGGTTCTGATATGTTGCGTCATCGCTGCAACATATCTACATTGGTTGACGCATCTGGCGCCGTGGATCCGACAATCTTAATGCCGCTCCCCGCCGTGCTTCCGACGGCTATCGCTAGCTTGTGAATCACGCCGGTCGACTGTACTTCGTTTTAATAGTTTCCTTTACTGACAACTGCCCTGACCGAGACGTCTCTTCATGTCATGCATTATTCATGAAAACTCAACTCTAACTCTCTGGCCTTTTTGCCACGCCTTTTTCTACCCATCTCATGCCCACTAATGCGACAAGGGACAAGTTGGGGGCAGGCCCAGAAATAACCGGACTCTGCCCGGAGCCAAAAGCCTGGATCGTCTCGCTCGCTTCGCCTGTCTAGGTCCCCCATCCCTTCTCTGGAAGTCATTTGAATCCCGCGAATGTCGAATTCTCGCGGAGCTTAGATTTCTGCCCGCTTCGTCTCTGTCTCTTTCTAAACCATAGTGTCACACAACTTGTTGACACTTCACAGAATCTCGAACAGGGCTGCGCAGCTTTCCACAGTTCCGAAGTTGTTGAGGTTTTTCAAGCGGGTCGTAGCTTTGAGTTTTCTAGAGTTTCGAGTGGTTTTGATAGATTTGTTGGGGGGGAGGGTTAGCATGTGAGAGTTTGTGTGGGTAGTTCGGATCTGGGAAGGGTTTGGGCTGTTGTGTATGTTGTTCAGCGAAGACGGTGAAATTTTCTATCGGAAGAAACGGGTTTTGATATTGCAAGTGTTTTGATAAGTAAGGTGAGGGGTTGAACGCCCCGCGCGTCTTGAAGCTTTCACGAGGAGTTGCGTGTGGTCGGTGGAGGGGTGGAAGGGCGGAGGTCTGTGCTGAGCACTCAGGGGAGTATGCCGAAGTCATGCGATGCATGTCACATTTCCAGTGCGGTGGTGTACTGCCGGGCAGACGCCGCGTATTTGTGCGCTGGCTGCGACGGTAAGGTGCATGGAGCCAACAAGCTTGCTTCACGACACGAGCGCGTATGGATGTGCGAGGTCTGCGAGGTTGCTGTAGCCGTTGTGACTTGCAAGGCGGACGCAGCGTCGTTGTGCGTTTCTTGCGACACGGATATCCACTCTGCCAACCCACTGGCTCAGCGCCACGAGAGAGTGCCCGTGCAACCCCTGTTCGATTGTGCTAGCTCCGCAAGAGAAGCGCACATCAGCGTGCCATTCCCCGAGAGTGAGTGCCATGAGACGCTGAAGGGTGTAGAGGACTCGTGTGTGGCCGAGGCGGGTTCGTGGCTTCTCCCACATCCCAAAATACCTACCAATGCCATCATTAGAGGCAGCGCTGCAGGTAGGACTCAAGTTGTGGGTCTACTCTGCAAGGTTAAATAAAAGAGTGGGGCATCGGATGCAGTAGAGAGTAGGAATTCTCAGGCTCTTGCAAGAAGGTGTATCATTCTTGGGTAATTTGAAGTCTCAGGAGGGAGGGATGTTTGGTTATCGTCGTGGGGATTTTCGCTCCACCTTTGATCTGTGTGTAGATTCTTGGAGTATCAGGGTGCCGTCTGTCTTGACTTGGGTAGACCCAGGACCTCATTGTCGGTCTCTTTTATGTTGCAGCTGATGAAGCACCGGACTCACCCTTCCGTGCGCGACCATTCAGTCCTAAGCTCAAGAAGCAAAAAGTCGATCTTGCAGCGGATATTTTCTCAGATGTTGACCCTTTCTTGGAATTGGACGATGCTACCGTAACAGGAATTCAACCCGACAGTTTGGTGCCCGTGCACATTCCTGAGGGCTCCGAGGACAGTCCCTCACTGGCCCATTCAATGGAGCCTTCCTTCACAACTGATTTTCATCTGTCGGAGAAGAGCGGTTACAGCTTTGGCACTTCCACCCTCACCCACAGCGTAAGTCCCATGTCTCTCCATAGATTATGGGAAGAGTGTTCTCAAGCTTATGCAGTTTTCCACGAGCTCGTGCTATTGCCCTGTATGATTCCCTCTTATCTCTCGACATTTTTTTTACTTTTATTTTATTATTTTTTTTTTTTGTGCTCTCCATGCCATCGACCTGCAATGCTGATTTGAGGGCATGGTTCGGTTACTCTCTACAGATTTCGTGCTCGTCTGTAGACGCTGCCGTGGTCCCGGACTCCAGTCTAAGTGACATCTCAACACCCTATCCACTGGATTCTCAAGGTGCTCAAGAGTTGTCTGGCACCCGCATGCCGCAGCAGGTGAGCGGGCCCATCGACACAGTGGATCGGGAAGCTCGAGTGATGAGGTACAAGGAGAAGAGGCAGAAACGCAAGTTTGAGAAAACCATCCGGTATGCATCCAGGAAAGCTTACGCCGAGAGCCGGCCGAGGATCAAAGGCAGGTTCGCGAAGAGGACGGACTCCGATGTGGAGCAGTTGTTCAGCTCTTGCTCTATGGACTCAAGTTTTGGAGTGGTGCCTTCTTTCTGAATATCTGTATGATCAACCTTGCTTCAATCAAGTTGAGTGTTTCACGTCGAATGCCTATTTTATGTACCATAGAGGAGTTGCCTTAAGACTGCTGTAAGAACAGTGTAGAGCTATCCTTGTGTTGAAAGCGCCTGACGCAGAATGTAAAAAGATACAGTCGGAGACGCTAAGTCATGCCATTCTTTTCCCCTGGTAGGGCATCGCTTACTGATGGACACTGCAGGAGGCAGGACAGAGCAGGAGGTTCCGGTAGTGTTATTTCTTTTTGTTGATTTCGAACGCTAGAAAAGGTGGACATGCCGCGCATGTTTCCTGTGTCTTCACATGGAGCAGCACATTCCTCCGATTTTAAACGTTTTGCACTTCACTTGAAACGATCTTGGACCTGATACCCATCTATTTTGAAAGTACAAGATGCTAGTCATGTGCCAGTCAGTATCTATTAGTAGTTGATGTCAACGATGACCATGGTGAGGAAGAGTATACTGAACTAACCGAATCTAACTATGGTGTCATACCTATCGCACTTATCTTCACGTTACTTGATGAATTTACCCCCCCATCTCTATTCGGATATTCGAACTTCAATATCTGTATTTCAAAAAGAAAAGCATCACTCGGAGATTTTACTTTCAGCTTGACCCGCAAAAACTTTGAACAAGTCGATGTAGTCTTCTTTTGTTCCAGGATCGACTAACCATCGCAAACGCACGCTTAATGATATTGAATTGCATCTAACTGAATGAGATCAAATTTCACACAAGCTACCCATGAACCACAGTCAAATTCCCTAGCTAGTCTTCTTTGACCAACACCCTGTGCCCTTGCCATAATCCTTCCATCCGGTGTAACTTGCAAGCAGTCTCCTGTGGCGCGAGATTGCAGCACAGAGCATCCGTGAAAGTGTGAGAAGACGTCACCCGCAGCTTTACGCTGACGAAGCCAAGCAATGGCTAACACTAGTCAATCAATGTGTCATTGGATTATATTCTCCGCGGGCAACGTGTCCAATCCTTCCCTGTAGGGTAGCAGCTGCTGTAATTGCTGTATAAGACTCAACATCTTATGTCAATGAGAAGGAATTCTTTGGAGACCTTCGCGTTTTCTTCCAACAATCTCTTGCATTTGCATTTGGTTGACAGCAAGGTGATTACGTCTTTGGTTTTAATCGGTATGTAGATGTTAAGGTATCCGGCAGGTTGACAGTCCCGGTGATTAGAGAATGGTGGCAATTGCCTGACATAAACAATGACGCTTTCATCTGAAGTAGAAACAAACTTGGGTCTTAAAAGTGGTAAATTTGTTGATAGTGTGAGCACCAGAGAAGAGACAGTTACTGACATAGCAAGCTTAACATCAACACTCCAATATCTGATCGTATTTTCACGATCTTGACTGTTGCCATTTCTTAATCTAGCTTCAAAAGACATGTGACGACAGATTTCTTCCACCTAAATGCGTCACATCTACTTCAAATTTGGATGTGGGTTGATTGAATAGGAAATTATCTCCAACTCTTTATCTGTGCCGGCTCGTTAATATCTTCTGTACAAGAGCTGAAATCCAACACTTAGTAATAACCTTGTAGCAACTCAAGTCTAGTTTTTTCTAGAAGTGGATGGGAATTTGCTAAAGCTTGTTTCTAAACATTTTGAGTGTTCATTGGTACTAGGATTGAGTGTTTTTTTGTCCATGCCAAAAAATGTCTTAAAATTGAAGATTAACAAATGAAGGTGTTCGCTATCTAATGCAAATGCAAAGGCATCTTGGATATTATGGTCAACAACAGAAATACACTGAATAAATCATGTGGATGTTTGTTTGCTTTAAAATTTTATAAGGATTTTGTAGTGGTGATGTGTTTGAAGTATTAAAAAAATATAAATGTTGTATAATCAAAGTATAGTGTTCTTTATAGTAACAATGAGATTTTTGTATGGTAATAATTAGTTTTCTAGAAAAAAATATTTGCATGTTAATTAAAGTTTTTTATTCAATTCAATTTTTGGCACTCCTCTCTGGGATAGGACAACATTGCAATTGGTTTGTTTTCATAGGAGATATGAAAAAAAATTTAAAAATTAAATTAGATTAAAATTAAAATGCATAAGAGTTTAAATCAAAGTTGTTTAGATGTAGCACAAGAAAACCATAGTTACTTTAGAGAGGTTTTACAATTTGTTTTCTTTTTTCTTTCTACTGTAATGAATGTGGATGTTGTAGATATTGCAAATAATCATTAATTTTTTTTTGTCAGAATGAATGTGGATGTTGTAGACATTATTAACAATGATTAATTTACAGATTTATGCCAATGGCATGTTGCATGTGCTTATGGCTATGTACAAGGGCTAGACTATAAGTATATTGTATGAAAGTTTGTGCATGTGATATATACCATTGTAATATAGAAGAAGTTGCAAAAACTCATGCTTAAGAAATGATTTCTTTATTATTGTAGAATATATATATATATATATATATATATATATGTTTGATATTATTTTGGAGATTTTTTTATAAAAAATATATATTTCTTTCATTAACATACAATTTTTTGTATTAAATTATTATTTTTAAATTATAAATTTTTATAATATTAAAGGTATAGTAATAATTATTTTTTTGATGATGAAAGTATGTTAATTATTTAAAAATGTAGACGTTTTTAGAAAATAAAATATATAGCTAGATATCATGCTAAATTTTATTTCATTTTCTAATTACATAGAGAGCTTACTTTTTCTTGTTGTTCATTGTTCACAAATATTGATAAGAAAGACTACAAGAGAGTCTACAAATTTTTGTGTAATTTTTTATTAATTGGTAGCTAATATTTTACAAAATCTTATCAAACTCTAACTTGCCTTCATATTTTATAAATTTAGTTAGTAAAAAAATATAACACTATAGATTATTATTGCTAAAATATTTGGGATTGGTATTAAAACTATATATTTTTTAAAAAATACAATTATTACAGTAATTTTTTGGTTTTATATGGACGTCATGTTTATTAAATTAACTCACAATAAAATTACACATAAAAAAATTTACAATTAAAAAAATAAAACACTTCTACGTACCAATTGCAATTTTGATTTTAAACCTCGTAAAATAAGTTATTCAAATAATTTCTAATCTTTTACATTCAATCATATTAACCATTTTTATTTTTATTTTAAAAGATGAGGGTATAGGAAAACTTCAATTTCAAAATATTTAATTTCAATAAAAAAAAAAATTTGTTTTTCTTTTTCTTTTTATAACTACCAATTAGATTGTGCAAAATTCTTTAAACAATACAACTGTAAAATTCAACTCTTATTATGCTTTTATATAAGTCATAATAGAATAATGCTTAAATGTGTTAGAAAATATGTTCTAGAATTTTATAATTCACAAGTAAAATATAAAAGTTAATTATTATAAAATAATAATAACATATATATATATATATATATATATATATATTTCATAAAATTATAATTCTATCTCTAGTTCAAATAGTTTAGAATTATACTAAATTTATTGTTCTTAATAGTTTGATTTAAATTTTTTGAATTTGTTAATTTTTTTCTATTTTCATATTCATGTTTTTTTTTGTAACATCAAAATTTAACTAATTTTATTTCTTCTGAAAATATATTTTGTAGTGTATTTTCAAAATCACCTACAATAGGTAAACGATATATATATATATATATATATATATATATTGCAGTGAAAATAGTAGGTGATTATATATATATATATATATATATATATACATCCATTTTATTGTTGGAATCCAATCAAACACCCACAATGTTTTTTAAAAAAATAGCTAACATTTTAATAAATCTATACCAACCATTCTATTCTGTTTATAATTTTGATGCAACAAGTCTAGAATGCATTTATTCACAACAAGAAATGTGAAGTTATTTGAACCGTTTATTTCAAACACAAAACATATGTGTTTATATATATATATATATATATATATATATATGTTTGTGTGTGTATATATGAATAAATAAATAAATAACAAGTAAAGCTAAGTGTAAATGCATCACATGAGTTTTTGTTTTTGTGGAGGATGGAGTGGACCCACTACATTGTTTTTCTGCCAGCATTTTTAAGCATCATTCGCACCTGTTGCCCTTCTCCAACCACTGCAATGAAACAGTTTTGTGTGTGCACATCCCACTCTTTGAATGACCCAAGTGTGCAAGCAAGCATGACCGCGGTTGCACAACTATGCTTTCGTCAGGTTCGGCGGATATTTAATATCCAGACACACAGTTGCATTACTTATTGCTGCTGTTGAATCTCAGGATTGTTGTGATACATTCTCCGTAGCAGCAACAGCGAACGGCCGGTCTTCTCACAATCATACACAAATTCTACACAAATCCTACACATCCACACAAAGTGTTCATGTCCAATGCAGGAATGCAACACAACAATGAACCCATAAGTATTCATCTTGTATTACATTGCACCGACTATTTGTTGATAACCTGACCAAGCCCGTGCCAGTCGTGGTTTCAAGATTGAGACCAGAGGATATCGGAAATAAGACACCCAGATGTAGATACCACAGAAATATGGGTTTCAACTTCGACGGACTTCCATCACTGGGATAATGCTTCTTTGTGCTAAGGGCTAAAACCCTTTGACTTGCAGCAGAGTGGGCAGAGCAATGAAGGACATTCGAGTCCCGCAATCCTGTTTATGAAACTCCCTTGGCTTGGATTCCGTGTGGGTCCGAATTCCGTTATCGTCAACATGCTGGAGTCATCAAGGTAATTGAGAATGCGTCATTGGGTCTCGAACCAAATGGCCATGGGTGGACATTTGCTGGAGCTCAAGCAGCTGGGAAGATTAGGCTTGAGCTCTGTGGCTCAGGGTTTAGCAAGGCTACCGCGTCTAGAGAAACGCAGGAGTTGCGCGAAGCCGAATTCTTGTTCGATTGCATTGGGAGGTGAAAGATTGCGGCATGGGTTTGTGTCACTTGCCACAAATTCGAATGGTTGGGGAGGGTTTTCTTCAGGGTTGGGTGCTAGAGCAGTTTTCGTTTCTGCTGCTGCCAGTGATGGTGAAGGGAGAGAAGCGGAAGGTGTTGCGGATGAAGTAGCTGAGGAGTTGGATTTGATGGAGAATAGCACATTTCTGGCACGTCCCGAGGAGTTGACATCAGTGAATCGCCGTGATCCTCCCAACTTATTTTTCTACGTATCTGGTGAAAGTTTCCTGACCTCATTCGTATGCTGTTTTATGAATTTTTATTTGCAAGTTCGAAGCCTTCGATCGAAAATGTGCACGGTTTCGGTCTGTTCGGAACATGAATGGTTCAGCAGGGATTGCCGTCTAGAAAAGTTGCCACTATTTGTAACGCTTAACCAGTTCACCGTTGTTGGATTAAGTTCCCGTCATTTTCAAAAAAAATTTGAGACATTCACAAATCAACCGTGGGAACTCTGGGCATGTTTTTTTGAGTTTGTGCTTCAAACGTGGTTCTGCAGGGTTCTGTGTGATTGTGTTGATGCGCGGCGTGATTCAGCGAGAACTTGCTGGTTGGGGAATGACTTTCGGTCGACTCGGATCACTGGCCGGCGAAGGTATAGCAGTGAGTACCACTTAATCATAACTTCTTCAAACTTTGCAGAATTCGTTGTTGATTGTTGCTCTAGTTGCAATAGTTAATCACAGCAAGCCTTTGAAACTTCAGCTTATATTTGTAGGCTCATGAATGTGTACAGTCATGAGCATTTTTACTATCGTCTTTCTAGTGTCAGCATCGATATCCTGAGTGAAGATATTGCAACCCTAACTGAGGATATGGAGTTTCCCTCTTGCAGATTGGACTTGGGAAACTCACAAATCTGTTAGCGGAGCCTATTGCTTTTGTGATCGATATCCTTAGCTGGGTAATAATGGCAATCAATGACATCTACACCCTAATCGTGGAGGGTGCCCCCATCGGACCTCTCTGCAAATCCCTCCTTCTCTCTTTAGCAGTTCTTAGCATAGGGGACGCCACAGCATCCAAGATCAGGGGATCCCGCACACGGTTGGTGGGACTTGCAACAGTTATTGGCTTGTTTGGGGCGTTTGAATTCATTCCCCCTGAGGCTGTCGTATGGAGCTTAATCCTCCTCACAGCATTTGCCAAATTCATTCAAAAAGCAGATCCTGTTACAACATTTATGCCGGCGACCGTGACTCTTGTTGCAATTTCGGAACCTGTATTACGAGCTACAGCATTTGGCCTCTTTCTCGCCGTATCGATGTACACCAATTTGAGAGCTGCACAACAATCTGCGCAGGCCGAACCGACTGAGCATACGCCCTCTGAGCTGCGTGAAACAGAAGCAAGTGCCGGGAAGAGGCCGTCGTTTGTTTTCTCGGCCATTACAGCGTCTATTTGCATCAGCTTGTCATCAAGACTCTTATACTCTCGTTCAGTGAAATGGCTCCTACTAAGGACCGTGATGGGTTCAAAAACAGGCTGAAACATATGTAGACGATGGCTTGATGAATCAAGCTCGAGCTACCGTGAGGACTCATAGAGTTGCATCAGAGAGAGTGCGGGAATGTGCATTATAGAAATCGTAGGAAACAGAAACTTTCAAGGGGTCAACTCTTGCATGTACACACCAGTTCCACCACAGCTGAAATTCAAACCATTTTGTATCTTGAAATTTTTATGGATTCCGCTGTTGTGTATTCTTCGAGACTCTGATGCGCATTATCTCTGTAACCATCCCTGTACCAATATCTCGTGCCAAGCATCGGATCAGCAATCTCCATTGTAGTTTAAGATTTGAAACTTTTCTTTAGCTAACCGTTGGACTTCACTGCAGAATAAAGAGAAAACGACTCTTGTAGATTGAGTACGGTGACGCGTGTTCTGTGTCACAGTGAAAGCCCATCATCCGATTTCGGCCAAGGAAATGAATTCCGACAGCAGTGACCAGAGACAGTATTGGAGTTTCTTGTTTAAAAGCGTCAAAAGCTTCAATAGCGTTTTCCGTAACCTAACTTGTATTTGGAATTTACCTTTTCAGTAACGTAATGTAGTGTGGTGGAACCCACCCAGGAGATATGCCCCGGGAGAACTTCAAAACGATTCTCTCGCTTCTCGACTGAACAGACACCTCTTGTCTGTGATGAGCGACTTACCGATTTCATTATCGAATTTGCGAGAAACTTGCAATTGCGTTGTTGTCCAATTGTTCGATTCAGCAGCGGCTTGTTGGAGTGTTGGGTGGTTTGTGGGAGCTTCGACATGGCGGATCGGTGTAAGAGAGGCGGGAATTCTGAGGGGTATTCTGTTGTCTTGAGGTTCATTTTGGTCTTGGTTCTAGCGGTTCTTGTGAGAGGTGCGCGAGTGACCTCGAGAATCCGTGAACGCGTGTCTGCCCCAGTCCTTCGTTTCGGCAAAGATGGAACATTCAAAATTGTTCAGGTTTGAGAGGAAAATTCAGATTTAGCCCGTTCTTTTGCACATGCATAGAACTTAGATCGCCTTACATATTTCTGCTTAGAATTTTCGCGGAGGGGAGGGGTTTTTTCACGTATAACTCACAATACTTGTGCCCTGGGCTGTGACGATTCTATGTTTCCACAGGTTGCTGATATGCATTACGCTGATGGCGCCACCACGAGTTGCCAGGACGTATTGCCGGAGCAGTACGCCACATGCTCGGACCTCAACACGACTATCTTCCTCAATCGTGTCATTGCAGAAGAGAAACCCGATTTACTCCTGTTTTCAGGTAATCGAAAATTTCTTACACATGTGGGGTCGAATTCAGAATGATATGCGTATTCACCGACACATGGACGGGGATGGTGATCGGAACTTGAGGGGTTAATGTTGGTGTCTCAGGGGATAACATAATGCAGGAGGATTGCAAAGACCCAATTGCATCCATGAACATGGCCTTCGGTCCGGCGATCGAGGCTGGAATACCCTGGGCTGCAGTGCTCGGCAACCATGACCAAGAAGGGAATATGTCTCGAGAAAGGGTTATGTCCTACATTGCGAGCATGGACTACAGTGTGTCTACAGTAAATCCCAGTGGTGACACTTGCTCTGGGATCGACGGATTCGGAAACTTCGTCCTTGAGGTCTTTGGAGCTGCAGGATCACCGCAGGCACACAAAAGTGTGATGAATCTGTATCTGGTGGACAGCGGCGACTACTCTACCCTGTCCCCAAAAATCAGAGGCTACGGTTGGATACACGAGACGCAGTCTACATGGATCAAAAAAATGTCCAAGAAATTACAGGTGAGTGCTCCGAGCAGCGTTCCTTGTTTACGAGGGTCACAAATACAGGAAGAGAGCGGTAGTTATCGCGTATTGTTAGAACTGCATTGAACTGACACTCAGATGCGGCTATGGCAGCTGGCGTACCTGAATGATGCTCCGGCACAACCCCAGCCCGCGCCATCTCTGGCATACTTCCACATTCCGTTGCCAGAGTATAGCAATTTGGCTCCAGGTCAATTTAAAGGCGTGAAGCAAGAAGGAATCTCTTCTGCCCAAATCAATTCGGGATTTCTCACCACATTGCTCGAGGGTGGAGACGTTAAAGCGATCTTCGTTGGTCACGATCATGTCAATGATTTCTGTGGCGATGTTCATGGTTTGCGTTCTTCACCTCGATTAATTTTCCTATCTTAAAACACTTTTCATTTTCTTACGCAGGTTCACCACTTTTACATGAAGCATGCATGTATTCAGGAACCTAATTGACCATGGTGTTGAGCAGGGCTGAAACTATGCTACGCAGGAGGATTCGGCTATCATGCATATGGGAAGGCTGGATGGGACAGAAGAACAAGGGTTGTTAGTGCTGCACTTAGTAAAGATGAACATAGTGAGTGGCAGGGTGTCCGATCAATCGTCACCTGGAAACGTCTCGATAATGCCAAGTTTGATATGATTGACGCCGAGTCTGTTTGGGGCCAAGACAGCAACTCTGTACAATAGGAAAGAGATAGATAGAATTTTAGTTTACTTTAACTCTATCAAAATATAGCGGCGTGTTACGTAATCACTTCAGTGACATTGTTTTTCTTTTCAAGTTTATGTTGGTAAGTTGTAAAAAGTACAGATCAGACCATACTGTAAATTTTCGTAGATCTTTATTAAACTTATAATTGCAAGTGCACTTTACATTGTATTGGATTCTCATTTTTCTGTCGTTACTACAAAACTGGGTGCCTAAGTTTTACTTCTGATTGCATGCGTCAATATGTAAGCATGCATAGAGTGCTTTATATTACGACAAGAGTTTTCTCGTGTATTCACAGACGTCAGTAATGGGGAAAAGTATGCAGGGTTTTCATGTGTTGGAAAAATTACTGCACGTTGATATCAATAACTTTTTTCTGGGGATCTTCCTTGGACTTGGGCACAACGACGTATAGAACTCCATTCTTAAGCTCTGCTTTGATGTTCTCAAACAAAGCGTTCTCAGGCAAAGCCATGCGCGTATTATAACTGCCATAGCTGCGGGAAGACCAATTCTCTTCCTTCTGTTCCTCTGCATTGTGCTCCCCCTTGATAACAAGATCACCATCTTCTACTGAAACTTTCACCTGCAGGGTATACATGACTTAGGTCAGCCCTCATACCATACGAAGTTATGAACGTTGACAGAGAAAATGGTCACAACTAACGCTAAATATTCATCTGGAATGACAAAACAATAGAAGACTCTTTGATCATTCCAGTGCTGTGCCCCACAGATAGCTGTTGAAAATGAAAAGTACGCACTTTACAAAGAATTAGAAAAGGCCTCACCTCTTCCTTGCTGAGGCCTGGCATGTCAAACCGAAGTTTGTAAGCGTCATCATCCTCTTTCACATCCCAAGGTGTGCGGAGGTCCAATGCAGTGGCTGGAGAGGGGCTGCCGAAGATAGGATCCGCAAAGAGACGTTCCACGGTGTTCAGCATCTGCCTCAAGCTCCTGTCACCAACAAAAGGATCCCAGATATCTGTGGTCACAAAACCAAACATTAGCACCCCTCGGGAATTCTTCTATGCATCAACTTACAAATTACTTGAATCTAATTTTAGTGCAAAAAACCACGCTAGTATATTGGTAGGTTCACAAGTTCGCAACTGAAATTCAATCACAATACCAAGACTAAAATCTCACCAAAAAATGAAGAAGCCAGATCTCTTAGAGAGTCGCCTCTTCTTAACCCCGTTGATCTCCTAGAAACAGGTGGTCTTGATCCCTCATTTTGCTTCTGCATCTGTGTCTGCGACACATCTGAATTCTCACTGACATTATCTTGTTGAGCACTGCTAACGACAGCCAACCGGCGAACACCAGACCATGGCGGTCGGCATGACACAGCAATCGACGGCGGGCATCTAGTCCCCGTGAACGCATCCATGAAGGTACACAACCCGGACTTAGCCGTGCTTGAAGCCATGCGATGAACAGCGCGCAATGCCATCCAATCCAGACCTTGAAGTACACTTAAGTCCACAATTTCACAAATCCTGTGGTACAACAACACAAGGAATGCAATCAACGCCTCATTAACAAACACGAAGTCATGCACACAAGCAATTCTACAACAGAAAAACGTGACAAAAAATTAAACAACCTATTGGACCTGACCGTGGATCCTTACAATTAGGGGGGTGGCTGCTAACCTGATAAGCAGCAGATTCAGCGTCTTGACAGAAATCGAGAGTATGTCAAGCACAGCGATCGATGTCGGAATGGCCTCAAAAGTTACAGAATGCTGGAGCTGATCGAAACAGACGTGAACGGATCGCAGTGACCATGAGTTTTATACAGCGAGGTCGAGCGGCGATGGAGCGTGGTGGAATTCTCCAGAACAATCACGCCCGTTGTAGAAGCAAAGTTCACTAGAAGCCTCCTTCGTGGTCCTAACTGCGAATCTCTCCATGCATGGATGCCTCCTACTGGCCTGCACCCAGCTTTGCCACATCAGCCACTAACCTGCCACATCATTCCCATGTCGACCGTGGACGGAACCCATGTGGATGAAGCTATCGACAAGTCGGTGGGAATTCGTCCGCCACTGTGTCCCCGTTCAGTTCTCCTAATTTCGGCAGTCTAACCCTAATTCTCGTTTTTTGTTTTCTTTCTAGGGCTAGAAAACAATTCGACTGAGATTGTGCTGAGGGGGTTTGGGTTGGCAGAGTTGACTCTAGCATCTTTACTGATGGCAGCTGTATGTGCGGCATATCATTAATGGGTACTATTTTGTTTATAACATTTTATAAATAGTGAAATCATGTGCCAAGGTTAGAAATTAATGTAAGTTTATTATTTAAAAACTATAAACCAATGATATCTTAATTAGGATTCAATGTGGTTTTCTAGGGCTGTAGAAAAATAGATATCTAGCTAGTGCTTGGTATCAGATGAACAGAAAATCCAAATGACTCTTTGCACCTTGATATTCTAGATCCTTATACTTTTGAGACTTCCAATGATCTTTATAGACATGGATGGATGGTGGATGGATGAAGTTGAAAGGTCATATTGCAAGCTAGGTCTCTTTCATGCAAAAGTAGATTTTTAGTAATGAGCATGAGTGAATGTTTGGTTGTAAAAACCTTCAAATGTTTATATATATATACATACATATATATAGTTTTAATCTTAATTTGAGAAATAAAATAAAATAAATATTTATTTTTCTAATTTAATGTAATGCATTTTATATGATTTCCACAATCTACAAATGAAAAATAATTTTAAAATTTAAAAGAACTCAAAAAATGACTACATCATATAAGAAATGTCAAGGATACAAGGGCAAAGGACCAAGAAATAAGTAAGTATAAGAGAAACAAAACTAAATACATCATTTAAAATAATGTACCATTTGGATTGCACAGAAACAGTTGTTGAAAAAATTAAGATATCTTTTATATTCTTTCTTTATTAATAATATATAAACCCTAAATACTAAACCTCTAAATCTAAAACCTAAAGAAGCTTCTAGAAGATGTTTTATGACTCTCAAAATATAAAGAATCTTCTATTCAAACTTTTAAAAGAGTATAATTATTTTAGAAGGTTCAAGATACTTCTTTAGACTTACAGAAAATATCACAAATATCTAAAAGATTATATAAAGATCTAAAAGAAGCTTGAGGATACAATTAGTTGGATTTTATGAAAAATTCTTATAAAATATTTATTTGTTCTTCTTGAAAGAGTAAGTTTGTATTAAGAAACAAGTACATATAGTAAGTTTAAATAATATATTTAGAAAAAATTTGTAAGATTTTTGTAAATTTTTTTTTAAAGAATATATTATTGAAAAAAAATAAAATATATAATGTTTTTATTATTTTTAAATAAAACAAAATAAATAAAAAATGTTTAAAAATGTGCCTAAAACTTCCTACAGTTGCAAGAAATTGAATTAAAAGAAGAGGGTTGTAATTTTTTTGAACATGGTTGGATCTAAAAATTGATGAAAGATTATATAATAAATTATTCAGTAAATTTAATGAAAAAAAGTTGGAGATGAAGTTTTTTGAAAATCTGTTAGGTAATACCATAATTTGAAATTATATTAGGAGAAGGTGAAGGATTTGTTAACCAACAGAAGTCAACAAACTAAAATGGAGGTGACAAGATTGTACTCATAAGAGAGAATAATGAAAAGATTATATTTTTTAAAAAAACATATGATTATATGATATTCTTTTAAAAATAAAATAAATAAAATAAAAAATTATATTGTTTTAATATAAAATTCTTTGTTTTGAATCAAATAAAAATAGTAGATGAAAATAACTCTATTTTATAAATTTCTTTTTAATTAGGCAAGTAACTAGAAAGTAATAAATAAATAAATAAATAAATAGTATTTATTTATTTAAGCTAAACACTATGTCTTATACAATCTTGTTATACTTGAGTGCTTTTACATCTGATATGACGTTATTTCCAATAAAAAAATACATAGAATAAATTTTATTATAATAATAATAATTATTATTATTATTAATTTTTTATTTGTTTGTCTATTTTTTTTTTCGTTTTTTTGGAGTCTTGAAATTTAAACTTCTTTAGAAGAAGAAAACAAAAAAATAAATAAAGTAAAATAGAATATTATATTCTTTTTTACTATTAGCATTTAACTCATTTATCTTCAAATTCTTTTATTTGTTGATAAAAGAATCTTATTTCTTTCTTCTATATTTATTAGCTAAACTAAGAAGAACCATCCTTCAATATTATTCTAATAAATTGTCTAATTACAACATAAGAAAAACTAACAATTTTCTTTAATGATTCAAATATATTAAAATGGCTTATAATAAAAAATATATTAACATAAATGATTTTTTTTATTTAATATAAATTAGATAATTTAAAAATAGAAAATAAATTATTTATAAATTTAAATTATATTATTTTTTTAATTTTTAGGTATTTTTTTTAGAATTCATTTTTTAATTAATTAATTTTTACTAGCTCCATACCAAACACTTCAATATCTAAAGTTCTTTGTGTTATCTTGCCTTCTAAACTCCAAATTGCCAAAATAAAATCTCTTTCTAGAAAATAACTTTTTAATATTTTTTTAGTATTTTAACACTTTCAAGTATGAGATCTTATTTCTAACTTATATTAGAGTCAATCTATCAAATCTTAGGTGTTGAGGTCATTATATGTAGAAGATTGTAACATTCAAAGTTAAGAGAAAAGTTGTTTTTGATGTTGCCCAAAAGGCATATTGAAACTTATGCTAAGCATAATTCTTATTTGTGACTCCAAACATTTTTGGGAGATTTTTTTTTATTTTTTTATTTTTTTTTCAAATATATCTTCAAATTGAGCACATGCATGCAAAATTATGGAGCAAAGAGACATGTACAACACCTTCGACTAAATTGTTTTGAAGAATTAAGTAGTTAATAAATTAGTAACAAAATAATTCTGTCAAAAAACCATAGCATTTTCAAAAAAAAAATTACTCAAAGAATGGATGGTGGATAGAAGCACTTTTATTTATTTGAAAAGGAGACACACACACACACACATATATATATATATATATATATATCCATGAAATTCAATTGATATGGATTTTAGAAGGTCATATATGACTATTAGTTCTAAAATGCACAAGGTAGCTCTATAATATAAGGTCTTCCTTGCCAAGATGGTGGAAATTCTTGTTTCTATAGTGAACTACTACCTTGCAATATTATTGTCATACAACCTCCAAAATTGCCTACAATAAGAGCCATCATGTGATTGGTGCATGTCATTGCGCTATTTAGTTGGGATCCAAATCTAAATACACTTTGACTAATTGGAATTAAAAATAAGAATAATAATATTATGATGATACAAAAGCTTGATATTTTATGTAGAATGCTCAAAACAACCAAATTTTGTTTTAGTCTTTAAAGAGTTTCAGGGGTTAAGTATGGTATGAAGTTAATCTGTGATTTTGAACACAAAGGCTTTTTAAAATCTCTTTCTAAATTTTATGGTTTTACTTTTTATTTGTTAGTAAGCTTAATTAAAAAATTGCTTACAAATCATTTGGATACAATATAACAACAAAATCTTTAATTATATCATGTCAATTATTAATATTTAATGTGACAAACTCATCCGAATCGAGTGTATTTCTATTTATTTACTCGTGTAAGAATAAACAAATAAAGGCGAATGTCTAAATTAGACTCAAACCTAAACTAGAAAAAGATATAGTGGTCAAAAATTGCACCAAGTATAAGACAAAACCTCCACAATTTGAGAGTATCATCGATCTAGAACCAATATAATTGGACGCACAATAATGAAGGAGCACCCTTAGTCCATCCCAGTTGCAAGGGACCGCTGCCCGAATAGTAAAAATGATAATGTCTCGTCTGTTGTTCTCAAACGAACAGGCGAACAAACAAACAATTAATATTACGAATCCAGTGAAAGAATGAGGACGATGGTGGGAGAGTTATCACAAGTGGCGGCAAAGGACAAATCGACTTTAATATTAATATTTAGAGAGTTTGACACAGTTTTTATCTCCGGGATTGCGGCGTGATAAGCGCCAACAACCTAGTCTCTCGTGACGCAGGACCGAAACCCGGCATCTGTGCTTGCGTGGCCCAACCACTTGGTCAAACTCGCCCGCAGCAACGTCGACGCGGGAAGATGAAGGAACTGATCTACTACTAACAGAGTCAACTGAGATGGTGTTTTCTGAGATGAGCAGAGGCTAACAGTGATTCTCTGCATGGCCAGGTCTCCGAGATTCTGCCGACAAGTGTAGGGATCCAGCGGCATTTATTGCAATGGGTGTTCTCTCTCACCATCGTGAACTTACCATGTTGCACGATAAGCATCGAAGCGGCGGATGCTGGATTGGCCGCGCAGAAGGCTTTGACTGACAAGCTCTCTCTCTCGCTAGTCTTGCAGCGTAGCAGTCTTTGTCTGGACTCTACACAGCCTGTCACGGTGGGTTGTATTCTGAGCTTTCTTCACTCGTAAGGCGCGCGCTTGTTGTTTCGTTTTTTCGTGGATGTGAACCATCGCGCTTCGTTTGACCTCAATTCGGGTTACTGTGAGATAGTGCGGTGCGGATGGTGCTGCGGTGGATTTTGAGGAGCTGGGGATGTCGTAGAGGATCGATTGCTGGCTTTTGACAACTCCGTTTTCCTAAGCTGCGGTGCGTGATTGATGTGGTTGTCGTCGTCGGAGTGGAGAGGTTGCAGCGGTGAGGCGGGTGTCCGCCCCTAGCGTTCTTCCTGTTGCTGAACTTTGGCGTTGACGTGACGTGCTGAACGCCAGGTTCGTGAAAGTGAAGGTCTTGATGTGATGGAAAAATAAAATAAAATTCATGAGCCGAATTGTAGGTTAATCGAACTTAGCTTATACTCGCTTGTTTGTATTGGATGCAGCGACTCTTACTGAGTGACATAGTCTCGCGGGCGCGTGGTGGAGATCATGCTTGCATTTCTTTGTGGATTTTGGCTGAACCTGGATCTCGAAGTTCTACTAAACTGCATGGAAGGGAACAACAGAATAAGAGCAAGACTTGCATTTACAGCATAACGTCAATGTCGAAGGATGTTTCGTGTTCATGCCTATATTTCGTCCTTTTTTTCTGGGTCACATGTGGGGAAGATGTGAAGGCAGTTGCGTGGTTTCCTGCAAGATAAACAAATGAAAATATTCAAAATGAGGGGCGAGCTTTCAAGGTTTCGCCAATATTGGCTCGCTGTGTTCATAATATGTTTATTAGATATAACTCATAGAGAGGCTGGGGTTCTCACTGTTGGAGCCACTTGCGTTCCGGACCTAGGATGTCAAACCTTAGCATACTACAGAGTGCAAGCTGGTGATAACCTTCAGGTATTGAATGGCCGGTTCCAGATAACTAATGCTGATGTGCAAGCTTACAACCCTAACGTTTCCGACATCAACCTGATTCTAGCTGGCACAACCCTTTACCTTCCCTTCCATTGTGATTGTATGAACGGTATACTGCTTCACCACTTTTCTTACGTGGTAAGCGAACAACTTCCCGCACTGTTGTTTGTATGTGTGTGTGTGCGCGTTGCCCAAATGGCGCTCATTCCGTTACATCTTTTCCATTTCACGTTGAGAGGTCGGTCATCGATAGCAATAATATTGCATATGCACACTGTGTAACGCCCAGTGTTTGGCTTAACTATTACATCTCGGAAGGCTCTCACAGGAATTGTATGTTGCAGGTTGCCGAAGGCGAAACTCTACAAACTATCGCAGACGTAAACTATCAAAGGCTGACCACGACGAGCGATATTGCAGATGTCTCCAATCTTGCCGCAAACCAACATATTCAAGCGTTACAAACTATCACTATTCCTGTGAGATGCTTTTGCGGTGATCCGAGCGTGGACCCTAAGTATGGTCTGTTTAGCACATATGTGGTGCAAGCCAACGACCACCTCGCAAGTCTCGCAACAAAGTTCAGTGTAGATCCAGACGTTATATCAAACTTCAATGCTGGTGTCAAAAATCTTTCTGTGGGTTCAATTATCTTCATTCCAACAAGGGGTAATATGCTCATATCTTGCTTCTATGTTTGAGTGATTTCTGACTTTGATATTGTACCGCGGCTCTGCATGTTCTCATGTATGTGGGTCTCACCACTAGAACCGATCCCTCTCTCACTTCCTCATTTGGCTTCTGTGAAGATTCATTGTCTGTTTGGTATTGTAGACGGTTGTGCTTTAGCTTGCATGAGTAAAGCAGTTTTTTTCATGCTTTTTTCTAGACATGGAAGTGGTTGATATTTTTGAGTGAATTTGTGTGTATAATGATCAAGTCCTAGAATAACAATTTGTTGTCAAGAAGTAAGATGTAACTTGGTGCCCATGCACAATTCATTACATTTTTTGATTACATTTTTTGCTTTGTTTTTTTTGTAGATGGAAACAATACTTTTCCTCCTTTTGGCAAGTATGTATTTTCCTTTTCTTACTTAGTGGTTTATTTATTAATTTTTTTGGATGATAAATATAACATTTACAATTATTGTATTTGTAGATTCAATTTTGATTATTCAAACTAAAAACTATCAATAATTGCAATGTTGTAACATTAAAATTATATACGAAGTCTTTTTTTAATGTTATGCTTGATTGATTAATACATCTAAAATATATCATTGTAATCTCGCATTATTTTATGGTTTAATATGTATTGTTTAATATATGTAATTTGTTCTTGATCTAAGAGTTTTTAATGTCCTTGTTATTGTGCAGCTCCAAGAGTAGTGACAATGGTTTAAGCAGTAAGCAATTACATAGACAAAAACCTTTATTTTTATTAGATAAAACATTGTAAATTAGAGTAAAATTCTTTGAAGTTTTTTCTTTTTAAAAAATTAAGTTTTTTTGTAGACTTTATTATTATACTCGTTTGTATTATGTTGACTATGGTTAATATTTTATTGATGTGCAGGATCAACCATTTATATCATTGTTGGAAGTATTATTGGAATAATTGTTTTTATTGTTTTCTTGTTTGCAATAATTTTTGGATGTAAATATTATTGTAGATGGGCTCTAACAATGCAATTTGATAATCAAGAATCAGGTATCCAATATTCACATTCAACTTCTATTATGTTTTTATTGATATTTTTATTCTTTTTTATCTTAATTTGTTGTCAAAAGTAATTACGTATCGAAATTAACATGTCATAATAAATAAAGTGAACTTATTATAACATAATATTTACATGATTTCATCAAATATTTAATCTTAAAGCACAAGTAGTTTAGATGCTATATTATATTTTAAAAAATAATATTTTTTATTTATCATATTTACTTTATTTTTAAATGTGTAGCTTTCTTATCTTCTACAAATACATCAAGTAATATGCCTTCAAGATCACCATCAATAATGTTGACTGATCTAAAATCAGTTGAATTTTCATATGAAGAATTATCTGAAGCTACCAACAATTTCAATTTATCTCAAAAGATTGGTCAAGGTGGTTTTGCCTCTGTTTACTACGGTGTTATTCGCAATCAGGTTATCATCTACTTCATTCTTAATTTGAAGCATGTATTTTGTAAAGTTAATTCAGATAATTGATAAAATATTTTATTTTTATCTACAATTTTTCTATTGCATTTAAAATATATTATATCAAAATCTAGATTTAAAAAAAATTAATAGTTATTTTTAACAATTCAAAAAAGCATATATATATATATATATATATATATATTCTAGCTAAATATAATGAATTTTGAATACTTCATGTCTTAACTAGTTTTTAGTAATGGCATATAGTAGTATTTACAAATAACTAAAATGTGCAGAAGTTGGCCATTAAAATGATGAACATACAAGCTACAAAGGTGTTTTTAGCTGAATTGCAAGTCTTAAGTAATGTACATCATTCTAATTTGGTAAGTTTCTTTTATCTTTGTAAATTTTATAAAATTATAATTTAAATTTATTAATTGTATTTGGTCATGACTGTTACTAATTCATCTTAGATTTATTCTTTCCATATATCAAAAACCTTGCAAAATATTTGTTATTATTATTATTATTATTATTTGAAGTTTTCTTTATATATCATAATATTTTATTAATACATTTTATTTTTTCATGAATATTTTTTTTTTTCTTTATAAAGCATCTTTTAAAAAATTAATTTCTACAGTTTTTTTTTTTATAAAAAATATAAAATAAAAGATAACTTAGTGGCACTTGGATGTTCATACAGGTGCAATTGGTTGGATTTTGTACTACAAAGAATTTGTTTCTTGTATATGAGTTTATTAATAATGGAACTCTCGACCATCATCTTCATCGTAAAAACTTTGATGGTAATTTGAAGGTTCAAAATGTGGTTGGTTTGGATTTTGTAACATATCTAAAAAGAAGTAATTAATTTTAAAAATAATTAAATAAATATTATTTATTATTCTAGCAATATATATATATATATATATATATATATAATTGTTTTTATTTTGCATTAGTTATTCTAAATTATATTAATAATAAATAAATCAAATTGTTCTAAAATATTGCTAACTTATGTTTATTGTTATTTTGTGAATTAATAGATAAGCCTCCACTTTCATGGACACAAAGGGTTCAAATCTCTTTAGATGCTGCTCGTGGATTAGAATACATTCATGAACACATCAATCCAACGTACATACATGGCGACATCAAATCAGCCAACATCCTCTTAGATAATAATTATCATGCTAAGGTTTGGTTATTGTTTTTGTTTTGGTTTTTGGTTTTTGTTTTGTTTTGTTTGTTTGTTTTTTTTTTTCTTTAAAAAAAATTGTTATCATGCATATCAACATATCTTTTACAATAAAAGTATTTTTTGGTGTTTGTCTCTTTAGGTAGCAGATTTTGGTTTGGCAAAGCTAGCAGAAGAAGGAATTGGTACTCGTGTCCTTGGCACAATTGGTTACATGCCACAAGAGTATGTCTTCTACTTCTTATCATTCATAGCAAAGTTTTTACAATATTACTATATATAAAGTCTAATCTAAATTTCTTGAAACTATTATTTACATAATTATTATTGAACAAGAATATTTTTATTCAAGTTATATTATATGTATGTATAAATATGAAACAAAATATTTTAAAATAATCATATTTATCTAAAAAGCTTGCAACAAATCTGAAATTTACAAGTAAGAGATATCTATAGATTGTAACTAGCTACTTATGAAAGTCCATAAAAGTTTACCTAATAAAATACTAAAAATATAATTAACATGTTCAATAGTATTATATGTATCTTTATTAAAGGATTTATCTAGGAATCACACTTTTTTCAGATATGCTTTGTATGGTGAAGTTTCTCCAAAACTAGACGTATATGCTTTTGGAATTGTTTTATATGAAATAATATCCGGAAGAACAGCCATTTCAATTGCACAACCTTCAGAAAATAGTCAATCTTCTTCAATTCAAAATCGAGAAGGAAGGACACTCCAATCTTTGGTATGTATTTTTTTCTTATTTATTTTTATACACATGTCATTCTTTTAGTAAATAGATGCATTGAATGTATAAATGTGTATGAATATATTAACATTTGTTTATTTATTTAGTTTATATATATTAGCAATGATTTGATTTTTTAAAAGTTATAGTTGATTATTTTTGTTGGCTGATGTAGTTTGAACCAATTGTAAGTGATCCAAATGGCATTACATTACTCCCAAAATACATTGATCCAGCTCTCAATGACGAATATCCAATAGATGCTGTTTGGAAGGTAAGAAATTTTAATTGCAAAAATGTTTTGAAGCAAATTTATGGTCAATATTTATATGCTAGAATTACTATTTTCGTTGTATAACTTCTATCATTTTTTTATGTTTTTAATATTTTTTATTGAGAAAACGAAAAAAAATTAAATAATTAAAATTTATATTTAAGATTTTAAACTCTATTTTTTCAAATAAAAATAAAAATAAAAATGTATTTTGTTTTATTCAGATGGCGCAATTGGCAAAATGGTGTACTCAATTTGAGGCCAATACAAGACCAACTATGAGATCTGTTGTTGTAAAATTGATGACATTAACATCAAGTACTCAAGAATGGGATGTTGGTCATTTTAGATGAGATTTCTGTTAAACATGTCTATTAGTAAGTCATAATCATTTATCCAAAGCTTTTTTTGAAAAATAAAAATGTGCTTATTCTTATCTATTTTTATGTAATATAAAAATAAAATTTTGATTTAGTATTTAAAATTTATCTTTATTTTTAAATTTAATTTTTTTTTAAAAAATAAAAATCTTTAAGTATTTTTTCATGTCAATCAAAATACTTACTTTAAAAATCACTTCAAAAAAAAAAAATCTGTTATATTTATTATTTTCATCTTTGAAATAAATCTTTGGATTTTCTTAAATTTGTTAATTTTAGGTATTTCTTTAATGAATCAATTTTTTAATTAAAAATAAATAATTTTATGAGGATTTGATTTTTGTGGCAATTTTTTTTGTCTTTGTTGTTTGTTTGCTTTAATGATTTTAAATGAAACTCAAAGTATGCCTCTCAATTAAATTATAATTAATTTTATTTATTTTAGAATTATGAATTCTATTTATATATAACTTTTAGTTTCTAAATTATGATAATAAAATTTAAAATCCTTAAAAATCAATTTACAATCAGATTTTTTGGATTACTAATCTTTCATTAAAACACTTATATTATTAAATTTTATTCAATTTAAAGTATAACCTTCAAATTTCAAATTATATATATATATATATATATATATATATATATATGTGAACATTATATATATTCACATATACACATACATATAATTTCTTTGTATAAACTATTACAGGATAAAATTTAATTTTAAATATTATTCAATAAAAATTAATTAAAGTAAATTTCTAAAACAAAATTAATATAAAATTTTAAGATTAAAAAATTAAAAAATGCACTAATGTATGTATGTGTTTTATGTGTGTATGTATATGTATATACATAGTAATTTGTTTTTTAAAAGTTAGATACCATTAAAATTATTGGGTTAAAATAAAAAGCCTATTGCTTAAATTTTTAATCTTAGCTAAAAAAATTCCTTTGATAACTTTAAAAATCACCTATGGAATATGGTTGGATAAATGCTTTTATATTTAAGAATCTTGTGTAATTGTAGTAGCTTAAGTCAAGCAACATAAATCAATTTTAAATGAGATTCTTTTTAGAAAAATAAAGCAATTGCTTACATTATTGAAGTAGTAGTCAAATGTCAAGCATCTTTTAGAATTGAGTAGATGAACATTTTTTTGGAGTTGTTTTTATTAAAAGACTATGGGCTTGAAATCTCTGCAAAATGCATCTTGAATTTGGAATGGAATACAATTTATAAACAAGAGAACCAACTGTGTGGATGTTTTGTTATTAGATTGTAACAAAGGAGTAATTGTCAAAGTCATTATTATCAAAAGTTAGGTTGTAAAAGAATATAAAATCAACTTAAACTTGTAATTGGTGGCTAAATTTGAGCTTTTAGTACATAGAGTCTCAATACTCCACATCATTACTAGTTGCTTATTGGTATGTGCAGCATACAACAAAACTGGTACAAAGTGCATACCTTGTTAGATTGATATTTGTGTCTTGCATTTTTGAAAAATGTTCTTCAGCATTTATAATTTACTTCATCTATCCAAATAAAAATAAATAAATAACACATAGTAGTAATGTGTATTGGCATGACAATAAATGATACATTAAAGGAATGCATTCAAGGGTTGTCAAAAACTCTTTCCAAAAACATCATCAAAACTTTGTCAACAGATTTTGTGTAGGTAGAAAATTACTCCATTGAAATATATATATATATATATATATAAATATTTGTGACACCTTCACATATCCCGTGTACATGACACTCCTTCGCCAGCTCCCTCTCTTTCTCTCGTAGGCCAGTTGATGTGCTAATAATGCATGCAAATTTCAGTATCTGACATAAAAGAAAAAAACAATTAAAACAATTAAAACAATTAAAGTTATAAATGTAACAATAATTCTCGGCTAGCTCCTCCTCCTCTCTGCCTCTCTTGCTGTCTGTGAGTATAAGGTAACTGTCATGGCTGACAGGGAGCTGCAGCAAGCAAGCAATATGTGGGTGTTTCTATTTCACCCTCATGCCCAGGCACCACAGTACTGTGGCCCTCACGGACTTCTCTGTATCAGAGGCTAACTTTAAAACAGTTGTGATCATATCATTAGCGTTAGTTTACTATTGAGAAACTGAGTGCTGAGAGGAAAACCACCCTTGAGACAGTAATAAGCTGAAGAAATGGTTCAATAGGTTTTGCAACCTTGTGAAGAAGAATGGCGGTTGCACAGTGTAAAGACGTGGTCCCTGTTGAATGTTGTAGGTTTAGCTATACACACTGGCCCGGAATGATTGTGCCAGATGTTTCCTTACCATCTGAAATCCTCGCAACCATAATCTAGAGCTCAGCTCATGTAGTCGAGACCTCTATCAAAAGGAGAGCTCTGGTCAGGTTGGTACTACACCTGGATTAATCAAGAATTCCCTAAGCTATGGAGGAGCTCACAAAAGCAAACCTCTCTGAATGATAGTGGAGTTGTAGCGATTGATTTTAGTTGCGAGTCCCAGCCCAGACTGCAGACCTTCTCCGTCCTAGAAGTGCTACTAAATGGATTTCTGTTATGCACAGTGTTCTCGTGGACACACCAGCAAAAGCTGCAAGGTCACTTGCCTTGGGAGCAGTGATTTGGGCTTCGTCTAATCCCGCGGCTAACAGCAGACAAGCGGCTAGGACGACGCTCGTTCCTGCATTCGAGAGGACAGCTGGGGCCAAAGCTCTATAAGCCTTGCGAAACAAACGCAGCGCAAGTGGAACTGTGTCAGGACTGCTTAAATGCAGGTCCCAATGCCACTTTGCCAATATTCTCGTTAATCTGGAAGTGGCCAGAGCTGCCGATTGCTGACTTCGTCGGAGGGATGGGCTCGTCTGTGCGCTATCATCCATTCGCAGGCGCTTAGCTGAAGCGGATCTGAGGGTGACGAAAGCTCCGTTGTTGGATCCCATTACTGGCGGTTGAGATCGGTTCCCATCCCTTGTTTCCAGAGTGGTGTCTTGATGATCATGGGAAGCACTCGATCGATTAATTGCAGAGGAAGTGGCACTGGTACACTCGCACTGAAACAACAACGAAAAAAGTTTTAGAATTACTGCGTTGCTAGCGCATTCATGAGTAGTTTTTCATTTACTATGGGTTACCACATGCTTGACCTGAAAAAACCCTGTAACATAATGGTCAAGGAACGTTCCATGACGGGTTCCGAATTGCGACAACGTGAGAAGGATGAACACACCCATCTATTAACTCACAGCTCGGTGTCAGCTACTGTACCTCATTACCCAATTAGTTAACTATGGTATGGCCCAAACAAAATCTTCCACTGCCTCACGAAAGCAGTCCACCTCCACAGAGCTATTCGAGAGAGACAAACGATCGCCTCTTTAGGAAGCCGAGGGGGGAACTCACACAGCTCTAGCATTGTAACATCCCAGGAGAACGCTAACGGCCAAGGTGTAGATGACACCTTACATTACCCATGGTTCCCACCCAGTCGTCGGATTATGGTGATACTAATGCTGGAGGGAAGGGGAGGAACGAGAAGTTACCTGTAACTGAGCAACGCGACTGTGGACATCTTCCAACGTTCTTGTTACAACCTGCTCGGCTTGCGGATTAGAAGCTGCTGCGCGGCAATCCAATGACCTCTTCCGCTTCAGCGATTGGGAGCTAGCTGAGGACACACTCTCTTGGGCACTCCTATCTACAATCACACATTCCATGTCCCTGCTGCTATTCGGAACATGTAATGAGCAGCCACTTTCAGAACCCGAGTCTGATCGCCCTGCAACTGCCAGGCATGACCTTGAAGCAGCTCTTCGGCTGCTCACCACGCTTCGATTACAATATGTAGTGCACTCGCCCTGCACCTCCCCCTGTAAGCAGCCGGAGCAAAGGCCCGTAAGCGGCGTGGGGTTCGCCCCTGTGGTCCGTCGAGTGGTTGAGATTCCACACGTTTTGCATAAAACAGACCGTGTATGCCTAGCCACTAAAAAATTGGCCCCGTGAACTTTAGCATCGCAAGACCAACAAATGTGGGCATTGTCTGCAGCGCAATACAAAGCCGCTGCACCGTCACACAACTCGCACTTTCTTAGAATCTTCGCCATCAGTCACAGATGCTCGAAAATACTTCACTCATGTGTTCTGTTAGCTGCGCCCGCCTTCAGGCTCTGTATAAAACCCTTTATCCCCTGAACTGTTCTCTTAATCTCCGAACAAGAAACCCAACCCCGATCGCAAATTTTCTCAAATAGTTGAACTCTCCTCCTCAATCCACAGTCTTAACAATGAAGACCCTACCCCGCCTATACCTCTCGATGTTCTGTGATGTGCTCACAAACTTCTCCCTACAAGCCAATCGCTCGACCTCAACTTCTGCTTGAGGTGGCGATGCACAATCCTTGACCGCAAGCAATAATGTAGCTAAAAATCTTAAATTGTAATCCTACAGAGCAATTTTCCAACGGGCAGATTCCGATCTCACTGAACCGATCGACTCTCCTCTTCAAGTAGTAACACCACATCCCTGCTCTTAAACCTGACGCTCGAGAAATAGACAAACTCACGAAGTTGCAACCCAAAATCTACACAGGAGAACTGGACTTATCTAGCTCCTTGTGAGCAACTGCACGATGAATCATCAAGTTGGCGCAGAAGGAATCATGTGGCAGACTTCAAGGTTTCAAACCGACTGTATGACTTGTGGACCACTTCGTGGCCGTGGCAACAAGTGGGTGTAATGATGACAGAGCCCAACATAATTGTTATGAACTGCCGAGAGATGGATGGCGTCGGAGCGCAAGTAAGTAACTTGTGGGGGCGAGGGTGGGGGGGGGGGGGAGTTGTGCGAGAGCAGAGGCCACGGGATCGACGACGACAAAGGTTCAGTGATACGACGGATGGCGACGGAATCGGACGAAAGTGGATACTGGCGGCTGCTGCGGAGCACCACACGCGGGACCGAGGATGGATTCTAGCCACGAGATTGGGTCGGAAGATATCTGCTGCTTCGGCACCAAAGTGCACAACTGGGGTGGTTCTGGACGATTAACAGCGGTTTGAAGTGTGGTTCGGATCCACGTTTAGAGCCAATAGGACACTAGTACAATATTTGGCCGTCTTCCGAAGGTGTTGGAGTCCAACGGCTCTTGTGTGAAGTCGTCTTCGCACAACCAAAATAGCCTAAAGCACTGGCGTAGTTCATTTCCACTGTCGATCGTCGCTGTAAATCATTCTAGAGACTCTCGATAGATGGAAGACCCCAGATTATTTAGTTTTGCTCGTTTTCCGATGGATCCACCCCGAGCAATCTAGTTGCTCTCATACATGCACGGCAGCCACACCGCAGAGTCTGCTCCCAGAGATTAAATCGCACCAATTGTATCTCAATCCCAGCCCAACATCTCAATACGTGCAACGAGTCCTACTGTGCTCGTCATGCACGATTTGTGCACCCATACACGATGGCAAGAGTGCAGAGCTGGGAATTAGGTCGACCCACAACTAAGTCAGGTCAAAGGTCAGAGTTGGAAAGAAACCTCGCATAAAACTTAGCGTGTGGGGTTCTTATCAGTATCTTTCATTCATTTTTTGAAAGCGTGAAAACGACAAATGCATTAGTACTTATTGTATTGTAATTGTACTGTTTCACTCGGTTGCATGACTTGGGCATCGGTTGTGTGCCTCAGGACTCAATTGGAGCTAAGTTAATCATCAAGACGTAAATCACGTTGTGAAGCATCTCTTCACTCATTCTTGGTGCTCCACATGTCTCACGACGGTGGGTGAAGAAGAGGCTGAGAGAAATCGACTATAGTCTGGTAACGCATGTGGACAGTGACAAGTGGGTCCCGCTATAAAAAGTTGCCACAACGAATGGTTAGGGTACGTCAACGAACTCACCCAACTTCAACAAAATAAGTTTCTTGAGTGGTCCTAATGGAATTTTCAGGAAAAAAAGGAAAAAAACGAAAAAACGAATCCAACCAACGCTAATTTAACTGATAATCTAGACCAGTGCCGCACAGAAGCGGATCAAATCCATAAGATTTAAAACATCCATAAATTTCGATCCAAAAAATATGACTCAATATGGAGAGAAGACCAGCTAGCTTCATACAGAGGATGAAACTGGAGGCGTCATTAAGATCAGTAAACGGGCACTTAACGATCCCAGAAGGACACGCAAGGACTGTTGGATCAACAGGGCGTTGAATCGCGACGTAGACTGGAGGTCATCGGTGACGATGGATGCACATGCGATAACGGGCCACTTGGACTGAGAGCCACATGATCCAGCATGTGACAACTCAGACGCGTCGATACAACCATCGATCCAGAAAGCGAGTCGCACCACAAACGTCTACAAGTCATGTCATGACCCACCCACTTTCACCTGCGGGGGACTTGCCGCGACCAGTCAGTCACAAATGAGGAGGGAAGGTGGGGGAGGGTGGGGGAGGCCGGTTACCGCTACAGTCACGCGGCGTCGACATGAACTGGTCGTCGTCGATCGTCGATCGTCGATATGGGTTTTTCAGAAGCCTGGTGGCGAATGAGGCGTGCAGCGGCGTTCTCTCAGGGCGGGCCCTGAGGGGAGGGGGGGGGGGGGTCATGTGGCTCAGATGGGTTGACGCCTTGCAATCCCTCAAGCTCCGCGGCAAATCCTCGTCCGAGCGCTGGTCGAGTATTCACGAGGTGGCGGATTCTCAGGCTGGGGGATGGTGCCACGAAAACTGGCCCCGTCGCTTCGGGACCGACGGATTCGACCATCACCAAGCATTCTGCATCCGTGACCCACATCGATCAATCGATCGATTGATCAGCTTCTTCCTGCAACACCTCGGCATTGGCGTTGGCGTTGTTCTCGCGTTGCGTTGCTTTGCGATTCCTACTCAGCCTCGGCGACATCAGCGGCCGCGCCGCAGGGCCTGCTAGGCCCCTATTATTAGGGTTTTGAAAAACACATGTGATTCAGAATCTCACAACATACCCTTGACACCATGCGGTTTCAAAGTCATATATATATATATATGTGTGTGTGTGTGTGTGTGTGTGTATATATATACATACATATATATATATATATATATAATTTTGTGTGTGTGTGTGTGTCTATATATATACATATATATATATATATATATATATAATTTTGTGTGTGTGTGTGTGTGTATATATATTCGTATTTTGTGGCCAGAGTTTGATGAAAATTTGATGTGCATGTGCACAGATATACCTATTTGGGAATGGTTTTATTCTTATTTTTGTTGTTATTATTAGTCGGTGATCTTTCTTCTTTTCTTTTCTTTTCTTTTTTTCTTTTACAAGGTATTGGTTGTGGTTGTAAAACAGGTTACTTGGTTCGTCACAACCTGTATTCTACTGTTTTGCATGAACCATCTCTCAGATAGTTTTGAAATGTAAATATGTATTTTATGTAGTTGAATACTCATTATAAATATGTGTGTGTGTGTGTGTGTGTCGAATTTGTGGTTGTGCTAGAAGTGACGTAAGTTGTATTAAGGGGGATTTGTTTTTAAAAAATATTCTTTTTATCTTTTATTTTTTATGAGGTTTTTTTGAAATTTTGGTAACTGAATAATTTCACCCTGACTAGGTTGAATGATGTGTGAAGATTTTTATTTTTTATTTTTTGTAAAGTTTATGGTTTGTCATTAAAAAAATATGTTACAAATTTACAATATTTACTTAGAAATTACCCTGTATGCATTTGTATACATGTAAGTAAATAGAATGCTTAAAACTATAATATTTAAATGCAAAAAAGTAAAGAAAAAGGTTGCTTATGTATTGTACGGTTGCAAAAAAATGGAAATCATATTTGAGGAAAAAAATAAAAGAAAATTAAATTTAACATCATGAAATATGTATGAAGATGGAATATATATATATATATATATATATATATCAATATATACATATATAATGCAAAGACATGAAAAAAATGCATAAATGTTTATTGTAAAAATATTAATAATGTATATGACCAGTATCATATTACAAGTTGAATTTTATAATCTTAAGTTTAACAAATAAAAATTAAATAGTTATAAAAATAAAATAAAATAAAATAAAAACACTTCGCTATTCTTAATGAATAATTACTACTTTTGATCATCCATATATAATTTGTGTTTATATAACAGCATTTCATTCCATAGAGTTGTAAAAAAGCATCATGATAGTCATTCAGGTTGAAACGCAATGCATATTATAATAAAACCTTCAAGAAATTTTATGCTGGTTTTACCTAACTACAACAAGCAAAATTATTTGATATCAAGCATGTTATTATTATGTTACAATGATTAAAACAACATACATTTCCAAAAAAAGTCTCTCGTGTATTTCTATTTTAAGAGTAAATTTTATCATCTACAAATTACATTTGTTTAGTCTCAAGAATGTCACATTTTACCTGATTCTTATCTAATTTAAATGCAAATATTTTGTAAAATCCCTTAATACTGGGTTGCTGAAATTTGAAGATCAAAATATGACATGATTGTGGTTGATTGCAATTGACCATTAAAAATTCTAAGTAGTGACATAAATATGGGCAAGTGGAAATATATTGAGGTACATATTGATTGATGGGAGGTGTAAATTGTCCTAATTTGTTGTGCATGTGATGAGGCATAAAATTCCTTTGTTCAATTTTGCAAATGTGAGTATGTCCTACTATCTGTGCAAAGAAGCATACAACTTAATTGTAATAAAATTGTTCTTATTCAGATACCTTTGTATATATGAACTTGTTGGCTTTATGCTTGAGCTTGCATGAAGTGGGTTGGAGATGACAATATGACCAAGAATTATGAGGTTGTATAATAACTCCTGTGAATTTGGATAGTTTTTCATGCTTTAGGAGAAATGCAATGTCTTCAAGGTTCATTATTGAAGTTAGGAACTTTGCACACAACATAGAGATTGTTCATAGAATATGATAAGAATTTTGTTACTTATATGACCAATAGAGAGGTGCCCTTTTAAAACAATTGGTTTCTTGTAATAGTATTTATTTCAAGATTGTCAAAGAAGATGGCTGCAATTGATAGACGCATCCAATATATTGGAGAAGTGAGTATAAAAGATAATCTTTGGATTGTAGCTTGCTGTTGATTCTATATTTAAATCTAAGGAAATTTTTATAAGTAGGTATTGGTAGTCCTGAATTAGTTCTTGTGCCATTATAGAGCCTTATCTTTGCTTCATTTTATTTTTAGTATCTAGTTGAAAAATAATAGAAACAAACAACCATTATTATATGGTAATACAACTATATGGTAAAAAATAAAAATATGGATATAATTATAGAAAATCCTAATAGAAAGATATAACCCTAAAAAAGGATAAAAAAATAAGAAGGTAGTTAAAACTTTAGTCTTAATGTTGTCTTTTTATAGGAAAAATTCTATCTACTTTATAAGGCCATAAATGAGCCAAATCAAAGTAAATAAGATAAGTATCTAATTTAGATATTTTTAAAAAAGATTAAGAATAATTTTTAGTAAAAATTTCCTAAAAATATGAAGAAATGATATTTGAAGAAGATCAATTGTAAACCATAGTTGAAATCAGATCCCAAGGCATAAAATCATAGACTTAAGGCAACTCCATGGTTCTTTGGTTGATTAAAAAGTAGGACTTAAGAACAAACAAAAGAGATGTTCTTTAAGTATTACTTTCAAATGATTTAAGCATATAATGCCTTTTTGTCAAAGACATGAACTTCAAAGAACTAAAATATCAATACATTCTTCTATTACTCAAAAAGTCTAAATAATC